ACACACACACACACACACACACACACACACACACACACACACACACACACATGTAACCACACATGTAGAGGCAATGACACAACACACATGAGCACACACACTGTATGAGAAGCATTTCAGAAACTGGAACTGACCTGCAGAGGCAAAAATCCTCCGGCCGAATCCACTATCATGACAGAAGGCACTCTGTTCTGAAAACAGATCTCCTGGGTGCGTAGCCCTTTTGTAACAGATATAGGATATATCGCACCACCCTTAAAGGATCCATCATTTGCGCAAACCATACAATATGTGCCATGTATTTTTCCAATCCCTGGAAAAGAAGAGACAGATAACAACAAAAATAATGTCAATAGACTTTAAAAGCCATTTTTAAAAGAACCGAAAAGTGTTAAAGAATTAGCACAAAATAAATCTGAAACCCATACCTTGGAATATAGGGATTTTGTTGCACTTACTGTGTAACGATGCTAATACTGGCCACTAGTTGAAATATTAGTGTAGTTTTTTGTTTAAGGGTTGTTGTTTTTTGTTGTTTGTTTTTGTTGTTTTTTTTTTTGGGGGGGGGGGTCCAGCACTCAAAGTGGGACTGTACTTGTTACAACTTTGGTGTGAAGAATCTTGAAATTTGCATCCACTTTCATGATCTTAGGATCTCAAAATGACCTTCCAAGCACCAAAAGACTTTCAAAATGTGAATCATCCCCTCCCCTCCTCTTTTCCTTTCAGAACTAGCGCAACAACAAAAAAAAGGTGTTATAATAAGCTAAGCGATCAGAAAGACAAAAAAAGATCACTGTGCAGCCAAAATCCTACTGTAGTCTAGTGAGACCTAACAAAATGAAAACCAACACCACATTCGTCAGCCATCCCTGACTCCCTGACATCAATCTGTCCCCGTGGTTTTATGCACACAGCATAATTTAGCAAAATTTGATCATTTTTTGCATAATTTCTGATTATTTTCCTTTATCATTCTTTGTTAAAATTAACAGAATCGCATAATTTCACATTTTTGGGCTCAGTTTGCATAATTTCAGAATTTTTCTTGCATAAAACAACGGGGACAGATCAATTCATATCAATATTGTGTACTAAAGAATAATATGAGGAAGGTCTTTAAAAGGAAGAGATAATCAATAGTTCTCTCAAAAAAGTGCGCTGAAATTATTATCATTAAAATAGAATATAGACTATATACAATGTACTAATGGTAAATTTTCACTTTCACTCCGGTACACAATGCTCTGCTTTGAGGGTCAGACTGCAGTATTATTTGTTGCAGATCACACATAGCCACTAAAACTGTCACAAATCAATTGTTTTCAAGAAAATTTAAAGCCAACAGCAAAACATCAAATTATAAATTAAAACTTAAAACAAGGTATGCCCCCCCCCCCTGTAACCCCCCATATTTATTCCTTACTTCAGGAGGGTATGCCCCCCTGTAACCCCCCATATTTTTTTCGAAGTGACTATTTCTCCAAACATTCGGGAAATTGAACTTGGACTCTATTTCTCCGAACGGTTTCCGTTCTCGACATTTTTTGGGGTTTTTTGCGAGATTTCGGCGTCATCTTTCAGTCTGCCATTCTGCGAGGACTGGGAAGAAGCAATTTTTGCATCGAATTCAATTTCTAGAAATAGGGATTTTTAAATGTCTGAATATTCAGATACTTCAGTTGCGGTTGGGGCAACGTTCCCGGACTATACTTCATTTGAAAATACCTTCAAAAGGTACTGCGAGAAAACAAGACTGATCGAACTTGGCAAAAAAACTATTTTGCATTTAGTCACCCAGCAAAAACTAAAATCCTTCATGTAAAAAAAAACCCCTTCATGCCCCGCCCCGTTCACACCTTACACACACACACACACACACACACACACACACACACACACACACACACACACATGCACACACACACACACATGCACACCCACACGGGCCACTCCATTCGCAATTATTATCAACAAATCTCGAGAATGGAAACCGTTCGGAGAAATAAAGTTCAAGTTTATTTTCCCGAATGTTCGGAGAAATAAGGCCTATTTTTTTTCTTACTTCAGGAAGGCATGCCCCCCTGAACCCCCTCCGCGATAGGCTTCGTGTGATAAAGTTCCATTATAAACCGTCAATTATTTTTAAAACTATTGTTTGCGATGGAAATGAAGTCGATATTCGAGTTCAGCGTTTCAATAATAATATCATAGAAAATGGACACATTCTATAGTACAGTAAATGTGAAAGGGGTGGGAAAGTAGAAAAATACCGTACTAATTGATCCACATACCATTCAGATAATTGGCTCTAGGGACATGTCCATAAGGCATACCCACTCCACCGATCAGAGACAGCTCAAGGAAGTCGTCCATATCATCAATAAGTGCCCTTACTCTATCAGTTACCATCATCTTCCCATGCTTTTTTACATGCCTTTCCATAGACTTTTCTCCTCCCCCTGCCAGAGCAACAGCTTCGGCTTGTCTGTACATATCTTCTGTTTTCTTAAAACAAGCAGAGTTCTTCACACTTTGTGGACTGTTAATGTTTATTGCAGCTTTGTCCTCCTCAACAACACGTAGAGGCTTGGAGCTGGCACGAGCATTTGGGCTTGGTTTGCTAGGACTATAAAGTCTTATGTGCCTTTGAAAGAGTGCTGCAAATCCGTGCAGCCTATCACCAGCAAGAAAAGAGTTCCTATTGCAGCTACTAACATTTTTTATCAAAAGTCTTTGATAAGACGCAAGCCTGCTGTAGCATTTACTTATGCAGGGCGGTTGCTGGAATCTCAATCTCAGTGACAATGAAGAATTTGGTCTGCTGATGGTGGGTGCTAAACATCTGAGATCACCAGCTCTGCCTCTAGGAGTAACGAGATAAACCGACCCTAATCTCGTCGCCATCCTCATTTATGGAATTCTTTTGCAAGAGAAAAACTGTGCATCTATAATGTTATGGTCCGTTCCGATACTTTCAACTTTCACCAAGAACAACTACAACTTACACACTGACCGGAATGCCGGAGAGTGGGGACCTGAGGTTACTCTCAGGTTACTGGATTTGTTTGTGTGGAACAAAGTTCATGCCCTCTCAACCGGGCACGGTGCTCTGGTTGCAAGTGTATCCTTATAATAATTATGACGAATGCGGAGATGAGAATGATGAGGTCTTGGTTGCTTTTGTATCAAATATCTGTCCAAAAAATTCTGGACGAGATCGTAATATCAGTGTAAGCCATAAAGTGATAGTAAGCCAAAAATATATTTAATTTCAGAAAGCACAAGTTGACAGATGTCCCAGTATCTTGCACGTACCTGCGGCGGGCAGCCCCTTCTGTGATTCAAAAATTAAAATATACTCAGAGGGCACCCTGTCCAGTGGAAACTGAGTAAAAAGCATGAATCATGAAAAGATGATACCAGTAGGCTTTTATCGATATTGAACAAAAGTGTTTTATTTATCAATAAGATATGACACAAAATCATAAAAATAATTTGACCTTCCCACATCAGTGTGTGCCACAAAACATAGAATTCTGTGGTATGTATTTAATTTGAGATACACCGCAATGAACCGGAAACTTTCATAGTCGGCAGTAAACAAACGAAAAGAAAGTGGAAGTCAGATGATGTCTGTGTTATAATAAAAGCTGTTCTATCCTCTCAACTTCCATTGTTATTTTCGACTGCGAATCTCATGTAATGGATTTTGACGTCAACGTCCACGATGCTACATCTGTGTTGCCCTTATGCAGGGAAGAGGTAAAGTAACTTCCTGGTTTTGGTGCTCCTGGTGTATACCTTGCCTTCGGTCATTGTGGGTGGGTGGGCGTGGACGTTGACATTTATATTGTTTGTTTTGTAGATGGGTCCTTTCTGAAGACCGAGAAAGTTTCCCAACAGTTTGAGTTGAATTGAAATAGAAGCAAAACAAAATAAAAAATGTAGTTCCCTACGACAAGAAGTGGGAGTGAAGATATGAACCTCGAACCAGGGTACCGGTAGCCTATTATTTTACGAAGTGCCTATTGATTTGAAACTCCGCGTTGCGATTGGGAGTGTCTAAACGCATGCAATGGCATGCACCAACACATTTTTTGCTATACTGCTATACGCATGCAATTGTGTGCACCAATATGCTTTTTTTGCTATAAGCACGCAAGTGCATACAAGGTGTATCATAACTTTGTTATGCTCGCAATTCCGTGCCGTAATGCCAAAGATTCTCTACTACCAAAATATTGCACTTCCTCTAAATTTGGGCTTTTGTCCGCGCCGTGGCGGGCCCTCTTTGCCGCTTAGCGCGTGATGGGCTACGTCACTAGTAGGGGATGCGAGGTTGGTTTCATCATCGACTGCTTGGGGGGTGTGTGCATGGAGAAGGACCAGGGACATTTATAATAAAGATATAGAATAAAATCCCCCAAAGAGAAGAAAATATTATGTCTGTAATGTCAAGGTGTTGAGAAGTCAATTAACTTGGATCAGTGAATAAATCATAGGAGGAGAAACACAGAATTTGAAAGAAAAGGGACAAAAAGTAACTGGGGAAGTTATCAATCAACATTTCTTTTTTTTTTAAATGCTCTTTAACAAAGTGCTATTTGAACACTATTTGTCTTTTTGGACAACACTACAGCCTACAGGAAGCATAGCATGGGTACGTTTTGAAAACTAGAGATGTTGATTGAAATATAATGCAAAAAATTACAGGATTTAACATTGTGTTGTGTTGAACAACTGTTTGCAAGCATATAAATGATAATCTGCTCATGATTATTGTTAAAAATACAGTTGGTCGACAGTAGTTTAATGGCAAAGTTTGATTAGTGAGCATTTATGAAGACTCACTATACACTATCAGGCTATATGTATTATTATTATACAGTTATAAATGCCAAAGTGTTCTGAGCTTCTGTCACAGCGCTTTGTTTTGAAAATGTTTCTTTTTTTTTTTTTTTTTAAGATCTAATAATTCTTCACAAAGTTGATAACCTTTTCTGTTGCTTTATTGATTTCAGCTTTTTTCTGAGCTGGTGCACAGGAGATTGTATGGAGACATAACGCAGGTGTGGCATCATCCGGGCCACATCTTCATCACAACAAATGATGGGCACAAGCTGTTTACTTTTGACTGTAAGCCAGTCACTCACCAGCATGTAAGTACGGCATTCTTTGGAATATAATATAATTATGTCTTACCGATATCCCTATGTGTGTGTTTGTATACTAAAAAGTCTACTATTTCTCATGTGGCAACACTGCGTTTGGCCTTCGTCTTGTTCAAACATCTAGCCAACTTATGGGAAGCTCATTTTGTAATAACCTCGAGATCTGAAAAGTACGGTAAGACTCCTACCAGTAAAGATGTGTTTGTTCTTCTTGTGTGAACGTACATCACACTTACTTTCATCTCAATGTAGGGAAAAGCCTGTGTATAGCATACCTATACACGTATCTAGTCTCAACAATCTGTGTCGTTCTAATTGTTTCAAGCATCAAGTACTTGGAAAGTGCGTGTACATTGTGTCAGAAGAGTCCAACGCTGACCGAAAGCCAACACCTGTCAGATGAATGACTGCTGACCAGCCAATATACAGTCTAGCATACATGCTCATTGTAAAATCAGCAGGATGCAGAACTCTTTTTGTTATGTACGAATTTCGCTATGTAGCATGTTTTAGATACAAAGAAAATACATCATGTTTTATGAAAAAATTTAGGACCTGAAAATCTGTTTGCTATGTGCGTACTGTACTGTGCTTTCTTCCCAGCTGTGCACTTTTCAGAACCACCAAGGAGAATACTCACTTTGAAGAGTGTTAAAAACACAAACATGTCTAACTTTCTTTGTCTAATCCATTTTCTGCAAACGTGTTACAAACTGTAATTATTCCTATCTAGGTGATGGGTAAATGTTTTCTCAGAAAGTGTCTATGGTATAGTTTGCAGCCACAGTCCTGACAAATCTGTCTGCCACAAAATTGCTGGTCACTGAAGTGTGAAGTGTTTTGTGTACAGTTCAGTTTGTCTTGGGACATCTCTATTGTGTAGTTATTCCTTGTGTCACTAAAGAGGAAAGTCCTGTCAGAGATGGGTGTTAAATTTGGAGAGCCTGCCTCCTTAAGAACGTAATAGTGTTGACAGGGGTGGGGCGTTACACCCGTACAATTACTTTTACCTAACTCTGCTCCTTTTTTCTGTTTCAGGCTTTTGACAGTGGCACCCTGGACCTGTCCAACATCCCCTCTCCCATCATCAACATCTTCATGGCTGCAGATAACATAGCAATCATTGTGAGTTGTTTTCTATTACATTATCAAAATTCCTCATGGTAGAACATCTTCTTAGATATAACTATCCCCTCTCCTCCCTCTCATAGACGTGTAAAGCATTTACATTCAGCATTTTCAATGTTACCAGTGCCCAACATACTTAACTACATGCCCGAATAAGAATCATTTTCTCATATTCTGGATTTTTTTAGTGCTGTCAACTTGAACCTGATTATCATATTATCATGTTTCAATTTCTTTTAATAATGTTATTGGTGAAGGATTCACTTGATATAGACAATCAGAATGGAAGTATTGTATGCTACATTTTATAACGAGAAGAGATTTTTTATGAAGTTGGGGATTATGATGGGTTAAAAAATGTTTCAGGAACCAGTTATTCAATTTTGTAAAAATTTTACCATATCATATCTTTGATCTTGTTTTCATCGGATTGTAAGAAGATAGTTCTATTATTGCGTCGATTTGTGATTTATTTCTTCTCTCTCTCCAAATCTCCAGGTGTGTAGATCCAGTCATACCTACTTGTTCAAATTTGAAAATGACTCCACGTGGTCCCGACTTGTTGAGTTAAACATCTCTTCGTCATCCGACCCATGTGAACTCATGAGTGCCACGTATGCCCCGAAGTCGAGGTCGTTAATCTGGTGTGAAAAACAACAGACATCAACTTCCCCTACAGAGTTGTCGGAGATGCCATCCTCGCCATACACGTACAGAGTGTGCAAGAAAACTTTTCCCGCAGGTTTGTTCCTCACTATCATCTGCCAGTACATTTTGTATGTGTTTGTGTGTGTGTATGAGTTTGTGTTTGTGTGTGTGTCACAATGTCTCACAATGTGCATTTTCATTCTTTTGATTGTCAGTTGAGTGATAGCTTTGCATTCTACAGCGCTCAGAGCCTTCTAGGGATTTGATGCTGTATAAATTCTTCTTCTTCTTCTCCTCCTCCTCCTCCTCCTCCTCCTCCTCCTCCTCCTTCTTCTTTTTCTTCGTCTTCTTCTTCTTATTATTATTATTATTAGTAGTAGTAGTAGTAGTAGTAGTAGTAGTAGTAGTAGTAGTAGTAGTAGTAGTAGTAGTAGTTTTATGATTACTATTATTATGCAAGAAAACATGTCCTGCAGGTTTGTCAAGTACCTTTGTTTATCTACTCATTCTCAGGAAATTTATATTAACCCATGTTACTTGACTAAGTTTCTCACATATCTTCTATCGAAGAAAAGAAAACCATGAATGTCTGACAAGTTGTGGCTTGCACTTTTTTATATAAGCCTTAGGTCCGCTAACAAAGTTCTAAAACGAATAATTTAGTAAAGAATAAACAGCATTGTGCTTCTCGTAGGTCTTCCTTAATTTCTTTCCCTATGTTGTTTTTGTCTGTCTGCCTCACTTTTTCAGAGCATTCACTGATCGCTGCTGTGTCAATGTGCTTATCTTTACTGGAACAAACTTGGAAACTGATAATGATCATGCTCTATTTCCTCAGGATTTGTGAACTTGAACTCATCCAAGGGGAAGGAATCTGACATCATCCTCCACAATTGCCCTCCGTTTGATCTGGAAACAATGACAGACGATGTTGTCTTCCTGACCACAAGGTTTGTTTTTGTTCATGTTATGACCGCGGTTATGATTATATTTAGCGGATTTGCGGGACGGTACTACAAACAAGAGGTCTCTGCTGCAATAGTTCAGGTTTGGATATCACTCTCACTCTGAGCTGTTCACTTTCTGTAGGCTAGTGACATTGAGGTAGGACCCTGCCAAAGTTACCAGCATCCTTAATTGTGGCAGTGGGGATGTAAAAGATTAACAATCTGAGAGTGCAATTGCCTCATATGAGTACACTTGTGTGAGTAAGTTGTGCTTCATTGTATGTCTAGTATTGAGTGGGAATGTATTGAATGCATTTCTGTGTTGATGCTGAATCTTTGCATCTTGATTCACCTTTCACCTTCACCTATCCCGTAGACCGGATGTCCATCGGGGTGCTTTTGAAGATTTGGCCACCAACTTCCTCCACTCCTTCCGGTCTTCAGCTTTCCTGAGCGTGTCTTTGAATTCCAGGCCTGTCCACTCCTTGATGTTGTCCTCGCAACTCTTCTTCGGTCTGCCTCTGCTCCTTTTTCCCTGGATGCTGCCTTAATATGGATCAATAAAACATATAAGTTTGGAAGTTTTACTTGGATGTAGTCACCTTCCTCATGGTCACATGCTGTATGTCTTCTCTATATGTCTGCTGCAGGTATAACAAAGACCAAGTGACAGTGTACGCGACGTTCAGCTGCAAGCACTATTCCCTGACCTTGTACATCGGCAACGAGACAGTGGACAAACCACTCTCCTCCTTCCTCGGACCCTCAGACTTCCAGGAGATGGCCATGACGCAACTCTCCACTCTGATCAAGGTCATTGTTATCATTGTGTGGCATCCTGGTGAAGTTAGTGGGCTCGTTCAAATTAGGAAATCGAAGAAACAAATGTTTTCTGCCTGTTGGGAATCTTATCAAATTAAAAAATTGGTATTTCCATTAAAAACACATATTTCCGTGTGTATTTATATGAAAAAATTTTATGAAAGGCACAAAAAATGTAAATTTGCAATTTCCAAGGCAATCTTTGGAAGTCACCAAACTTTAGCGTCTATTTTCTCGCTAATTTTACCTCTGACACCAGGCTATCCCCTCCTTTTTTAATCGCAAATATCTTTACATCTAGTCAAGACAGATAGGTATTTTTATATCAAAAGAAAGGATATTCCCTAGTCTGTTTAAGCCCTTTAAATTATTCTTGGTCTACCTTTGCCTCTTGTGCCTTCTATTTTTCTCATGAGAGCATGATGTTGAAGGGCTTTTTGTCAACTGGCTTATATAAAAGAATGAATTCAAAGAGTGTATATACGTACACATATTCATTCAGGTGTATGTTGTGTTAAGATGGAGGTATTGTAAAAAATCTAGAGATATATTATGTGGGAGAGGGTGCTGTAGAAATTATTTACATGATTATTATTTTATTACCATTATTATTATAAGTTTATTATTTTTATCATTATCATCATCATTATTATTTTTATTATTATTATCTTCTTGTCTGTAGCTGGAGCCGGGTGGGGGAGACCTGGGTGTCCAAACTGACCGCTCCAACAAGCAGGCGGCAGCTCTCTCTTCCTCGGGACAGCTGGAAATTTTTACATACAGTAAAGGTATAGTCAACCTTGCTTTACTGGCCACCTGTCCAAAATAATCACCTGTACAAACGACCTCTTTCAGCTTCCCCTGCTTGTATTTTTTTTTTCATCGTAATGACAATATCAAAGACGTCCAACTGTTTAAGACAACCACTTTCCTCCTTGACAAATAGGTGGCTGTGTTGGACAGTTTCAACTGTATGTACTGTCATCTGAGGGCATTTTCACATGTCTTCTACATATGCTGCGACGCTGTATTGTTCACATTTTAAAAATTTTAATGCGTCATTTTCACATTATTATGTCTTTTTCATATTTTTGATGTTTCATATTCACATTAATGTGTCTTATTCTCATGTTTAATGCGTCATATTCACATTTATAGTGTATCCTATTCTCATTTGTACTGTTCCCCTCTTCACCTTTTACTGTGTGCTAGTGCTAGGGTTAGCAAAAGTATCCTGTACAGAATGATGAAAGGTGCTGTGGTAGATTATACACTTTCCCCTTATGACTTTATGACTTGCGTGCTTCATGTGCTTTTATGTGGTTTACTCCTTCCATCCTATCAAATACTAGTGTCTGTCATCCTTTTCTCTCCTCCTTCTTTTCTTTGTATGTTAGTGTTAGTCTCTAGTGACATCACTATTCTTTGGTAGGCTACTTATATGATTTAAGGGTGGTGTAATATTCTTACTAAAACTTCAACTCCTCTCAATGTTTGTGCATTGTATTCTACAGTTCCTGGCGAGCCGAGAGCTTGGAAAATCACAAGGAATGTCGTTGATTTGTCGCGGGCCATGGAGAAACTTCCTGTGGTTGAGAAAAGGCAATGGTTTCTGTGTCGAGCTTGTCTGGGCCTGGTGTGCCAGGAAAAGCTATAGTAAGTACCTCAGTGATGCTAATCTTCCTCGGATCTGAGGAATTCCAGGTCTTTTAGCCTTCCCAGGAAATTTCTCAACTATCTGGCGTCCTACCGAGTCTCATAAAAGTCTGGGCGCCGATGATTTTCCTCCTTGTTAATTTTTTGTCATCAGCATCACTGGTACCTGGCTACCTGGAGGTGTCATCTCTGACTTAAAAGGTTGACGTGCAGTGACATGACGTGACGTTGCTTATGGTCACCAGCTGCCTTTATACATTCTGCGATACTTAAGCCATCCAGTGCGTTGATCTGGCCATTTTCTTGCTAATTTTATCTCTAGCACCATGTGACCCCTACCTCCTCCTTATATCACAGATATCTCAAATACCTTGATTTCTATTCAAAATAGATGAGTAATTTTTTTTTCATCCAAAGCAAGACAATTAAACAAGCTTTAAGATGAAACCAATAACTCCATATGCCCACTATTTGAGGAGTGCCCGATTAATAATAATAATAGATTGCATTTATATAGCGCTCTATCCCATACTAGTATAAGCTCTGAGCGCTTTACACCAATCACATAATCATTCACACAAGAAAAAATATTTCACAGAAACAAGAAAAACCAGTTTAACCACATAAAGAAGAACTTTCACAACCATACATTAGCTATACACAAAAGGACAGTGGAAAAAAAAATTCCATCTTGTGGTGACACATCTATCCCCCTTCCACAGCATCATCCCCTTAAAGGACCAGTCGGTGCACTGCGCGTACGACGGCCTAAGTTCCCCGCAAGATGTGATCACCAGCAACTCCCCGGCTTATCTGGCGTGGATCCTCACGTCGAGCAGCCTGGTCTTGCTTCAGGTACGTGGGAGTGTCACTCTCGTTGATTTTGCATAGAATGCACGGCTACTTGCCAGTAGGTAAAAAACATTCTTGATACTTTTCGGGGCCAGGGTACAGAAGTCAATTTATTGCTCTTGATGATCTTACTAATGCCAAAGAAAACTTATGAACTTCTTACTTATCATTATTATTGACACCATCACTTTTATGGTTGTAAGTATGAATATTATAAGGATTTGTTATTTATTTTTATTTACAATTATCATCACTGTTAGTAATATAACTATTATCTACTTTATTATTTTTATTATTATTTTTATCATTATTATTATTATTATTATTATTATTTTTATCATTATTATTATTATTATTATTATTATTATCATATCATATTATAGTTGTTATTATTATTATTATCATTATTATTACTATTATCTTTGCAGAGCTCAGACAGCAAGAAAAAGAAAGAGACAGCTGGGGAAAACTTGCCCGAGGATAATCTGCTGCAGACGGGCATCTTGCGTCTGGCTCATTTACATCAGGTTTGTTGTTGGTTGTCTCGATGTGCAGGCAGTGGCTCAGGCACACTTTATGTGTAGGAAGACTTGCTTCCACTTTGTTTTTGTTATATTCATGATACGATGTCAAGAAATTCTTTTCCCTGTCTGTATACATACACATACACTTGTATATGCACCTACAAAAACGTGAGTGCGCACCCAGGCACACACACAATACAAGCTAAAAAGATTGAAAAAATGTAAAATTCATATGAGGCATCATGACGAAATCAGGAACTCATTAAAATAATGAAATCAAAGAAAGCGACATTTTTTCACCCGTTTGGCAATTTTTATTGATTTTTCTTTTACTTTTTACTGAACATTGACTGTGTTATTTTGTCTGTGGCTGTGGGGGGTTTTTCTTTGAAGATGACCAGCATCTGTGATGTAGCGGTTATAGGCACTTTGCCATGCACACAGGAGACCCGAGTTCGATTCCTGAGTGGGGAGAAGTTTTATCAAGTATATTCAGTCTTTCTGCGGGAATGTTGTTTCCCTCACAGCCCGAGTTAGCCCTGGCAAGCAGGAGGCAGGGCGCCCGAGTTAGCCCTGGCATGCAGGAGGCAGGGTCGAAGCCCACATCCTCTTTAAATTGTGTCGATGAAGGCATAAAAAAGCCTACAGTACCTATATTTTTCTTTGAAAATATACAGTGCCCTATATTTTTCTTTGAGAATATACAGTGCCCTATATTTTTCTTTGAGAATATACAGTGCCCTATATTTTTCTTTGAGAATATACAGTGCCCTATATTTTTCTTTGAAAATATACAGTGCCCTATATTTTTCTTTGAGAATATACAGTGCCCTATATTTTTCTTTGAAAATATACAGTGCCCTATATTTTTCTTTGAGAATATACAGTGCAACTTTCACTTTGTTTTGAAACATGTCTGGCTGCTACAGTGCGGTTCTTCGTTTCTCTTTTCCTTCCAGCAAAGACTGGACGTTTATGACAGCGAGATGACTCAAGAGATACACAAGCTGAGAGAAACTTGGTCATCTGGCAACATGGCTCAGAACCATTCCCAGCTGGCTCAAACTGTTTGTGAGTTGACCTACTTGTTTTTTATTTAATCTAAGAAGGCACTTTACAAGAAATTTCCTCACTTCACCCCGGTGGGAATGGGTACCCAGCTACAGACAGCGAAAAATCTTGTCAGCTTGTTAGTGTTCGAGTGCTTAATGGGCTGCTTGCACTGTATGCTTCCCGGGAAGCTTGGAACGTTTTTGAATATTCTAGGGTCTGCTGGGGTAATAAACTAGCTACAATCGAGCAATCAAGGAAGTTGGTAACCATTTTACAAAGGGGGGGGGGGGGGGGAGGAGTAGGCGTCATATAGATCATTTTCTTTTGGTGGATGGGGGAGGGGGGGGGGATGGATCAAAAGTAAGACTTGGGTAGAAACTTGATTGATTGGTCACCTTTTACTGTACTGTTTTGTTTTATTTTGTTTTGCTCTCAATGGATGTTTTTGTTTTGAGCAGCCCCTTTGTTGGAGGAGTACTGGAAGCTGGAGAAACTGTCGCAGTCTTTGATGGACATGAAACAGGTACCGTACCACTTTGGTCTGCCTTTTGGTTGCTTTGGCAAATGCTTACATGTATGTGGGTGGTTGGCGGGTGCTCTTGTGTGGTTATGCTTCTTCTTTCCTATCAAACATCTATCGTCTTTGTCTCCCCTCCTTTTCGTGTTTGTTACTCTCTTGTAACACCTCTAATGTTCGGCACTTATATGACCTTATCGTGTTGCAAGTGCCGTAAAACTGTAACTAAAACTAAAAGCTTACATGTATTGAAAGCTTATCATTAGAGTTAATGAAACTGTAGACAGAGTGAGTGCAAAGAGATAGAGAGAGAAACCAAGAGAAATGAGGAGGGAGTGAAAGGATCACTGTTGGAACTTATGTTTCTGAGCACTGTCTTAGTAGAAATGTGCTATAAAAATATAATTATTTATTATTAGCAGTATTATTCTTGATGTGTGTGTGTGGGGGGGGGGGGGGGGGGGATGTCTCATTGGCCTCAAGCAGGGATGGACAGACTTTTTGGATCAGGGGCAAATTCAGTGGGGTCATAAACAGCAAAGGGCAACACATTTCCTCTGCCAGAAGTTTATATATGTGAGAATGTGTGTGGATCTGGGAGTTGTGTGCGCATGTGCCTGTGTGAGTGTGTATGCATGTGCGCGCATGTGTGAGTGTGTGTGTGTGTGTGTGTGTGTGCGTGCGTGCGTGCGTGCACTCACGATGTACTTATTCTTTCTTTTAAGTTGTCAGTTGTATTGAGTAATAGTTCTGCATTATACTGCACTTAAGAGCTTTCTAGGGATTATTAAACGCCATATAAACTCATCACCGTCACCAAGTGCCAGATCTGTGACAAACATCAGCCCTCATGGCTTGCCGTTCATTCCTTTGCTCAGTTGCTCTCTAAAATGCTTATTATTTTCCTGATCTTTCCCTGGCTCCTGTCTGTTTAGGCTTTCCATGCATGATGCTTTGGGTCTACCCCTGCTTATATATAAATTCTTCTTATTATTATTACTTATAATGAATTACTTGGCGCTCATATGACCTCATGCAGTTGCGAGTGCCGTAAAACCTCAACTAAAACTAAAACTGTTTTTACTATTATCCTCATCACTATTATTATCATTTTTTAAAAATTATTATTATGATGATGAAAAAGAAAAAAATTCTCACTAATGTTCCCCTGCACATTTCAGCCCAGCCCATCCTCTGAGGGAAGAAACACAGAAAAGTTTATCCAGGACCTCATGGCCAACGACGGGGAGGGGAAGACGGGACGGCACGCAAAGCTGGTCTGGCTCTCTCAAGTCTACCCTCAAGGTCTGCTGGACTACTTGTGTCAGGGAATCACCATCGACAAAGGTACATTAGTGAGTGGTTGGCAGGTGCTCTAGTGTGGTTACATGCTTACATGTATGTCGGTGGTTGGCGGGTGCTCTGGTGTGCTTATGCTTCTTCTTTCCTATAAATCATCTATCGTCCTGATCTCTCGTCCTTCTTTTTTGTGTTTGTTACTCTCTTGTAACACCTCCAATCTTCGGCACTTATATGACCTTATTGTGTTGCAAGTGCCGTAAAACTCTTACTAAAACAAACAAGTACATCAATGGTATCTGTTGCCAACGGTACATAACTGTGTCTGTGGTTTAGTGGTTAGGCGCTTGGCTGTCGTATGCAGGAGGCCCGAGTTTGATTCCTGAATGGGGAGAACATTTTATCGAGTATCTCAGTCTTTCTTCTGGGATGCTGTATATATCCCCGTCAGCTTGGGATGGCCCTGATGGGCAGGGTTGGAAGCCTGTCCCCTAGATATCTGAATTGTGTTAATGTTGGCGTAAACACACCTTCATTTAGTTTTTTGTTTTTTTTTATTTGGCAGCCTTTCCTTGCCTGACTTTTTATTTTGGTATTTAAGGCATAGCAGTAACTTATAAACTTATAATAAGTTTATAAACAGACCTTAATTCGCCTAGCAAAGCTCTTAGACCTAACACGTTCGTTCTTTCTTTTGTCACCAGATGAGCTCGTGGAGAGTGAGATAGCGTCGTGGCAGGCACTACTGGGTCAAGACGGAGGCGACCTCACCAACTTTGAGTTCGTCTGTCGTTTACTCTTCCTTCTCCACCCACACAAACTTGTGAGTCGTTCTTCTCCACCCGTGTCAGGTGTTATCCCTCAACTTACCACAACCAAAAATCTTGACATGGAAATTATTACACCATTGTTGCTAAAAAGCCAATATAAATAGAATGTTTGAAATCTCAATTTAGTACTTTAATAGTATATTGATTCCCAAATTTCCATTAAGAAACAAAATTAAGCAACAACAACAACAACAAAAGTTTGGTACAGATCTGGTCCCATAAGCATTCGCACTTTAAGTTTTATATAAACCAAAGGGCACTAGACAGTTGAGAAATTTAGGGTTTCGCCGGGTTTTAGGTTTAGAGAGGTTGTTCAATAAGAAGAAAAAATCAGGGGTTTTCTTTCTGTGAGTTTGCCGCTGTTTTCTGATCAGCGATGTCGGTTTAAGCAGACTTCATTTTAATTCGGATTGTTTTCAATTAAATTCCACTTAAACAAAAACCAGTTGAGAAGACTGACAATCATTTTTAAGACATGAGCTACGAGTCACATCACAAGTGGCAAATTGATGAAATGCTTTTATCTTACAAGAATAAAAAACAAAAAGGAGGAGACATGTATAAAACAGAGCGTTTAGAGCACGTATAACAAATGTTTACAAACATCAAATCCTGTTTATTGCTACTTCATATTGAGCTTTCTTCCTCAGTTCAATTTTGTGAAATGTGCCGAGTCGGCCAGCGAGCATAGCGTGGGAGTGTCAGCGTTTGTCCGGAAAAAACATTCAGTAAGTCGACTTATTGCTGTCAGCTAATTACCTCCATAGACGTAAATTGGGGGGTTCTTGTGGTCTAGAGGTTAAGTTGTTTGCCTCTTATTCAATAGGTGCCGGGTTCGAATCCGGATAGCGACGGGAAAATGTTCTTTTCTAAAATTTTCACCTTTCACATCCTTTCCTGCTCTCTAACAATGTTCTGTCATATATGCTTTCATCTCCACTTTCTGCCCCCAACCCCCCACCTCCTTTGCCCCCTCCTCTGGGCTCCTGACTCTTTCTGCAGCCTTTCTACTGCTACTCCTTGGCTTTTTCTTACTGCTATCTTTCAGCCACAGCCCTGATCTTATGGTAGGTAAGATCTAACACCTAGCCCTCTTAGATAAGGGCGAAAAGTCTCAGAGGTCCGGTGTGCAAGTTGTGGGCATTAAATATCCCTTTGTGGTCCAACATCGATAAGACTAGGCTTCGGTCGCCACCTAGGCAAAATTCCAAATTTCCTACCTACTGAAAAATGTTTAATGTGTCCCGTGCGTTCGTATGACCTTATGCACTTGCGAGCGCTGTAAAACACTGGCTTAAACTGTAATACCCTTGACCAGCCACTCATGGCCACTACTCTTTGCTCTCTCTATAAAAGTTTTGCTTTGCTGGTGCACACCATGAACGCTCAAATGAAGTGCAAAACCCCAATCTGGTTCTGGTCGAATGCACACACACCTTTCTCGCGTTGCGTTTCGTTTGGTTTCAAATTGCGTCAAGTGGTGTGCCCAATCAGGACCTCAGTGCTTTCTTGTCGTATCTCCATTTTTTTTAACATTGAAAATGTGACTTCTTCTTTAGCTCACTCTTTGTTATGAACTCTTTTCACTGTTATTAAAAATGGAGATACGACAAGAAAGCACTGAGGTCGCGCCATAGTGAACCCGGATTACACCAGGGTAAAGTCTTAAATAAAGGACAATCAGATTTTTCCTGAGGACTTGCAGATCGAATTCTGCACTTGTTTTTTAACAAACAGAGAGTTTACTTTTGTCCTTCAGGTACACAATCAAAACATGACCACACTATCATTGTGCAATTGTTACAGAGCTTGGCGCAAATTCCTTGGGTGCTCCATTAGCTCATGTGGCATCATACTTGACTTTGAAGCAGATGGCCCTGGTTTGAATCCCAGATTGGGCATTCCAGAACTCTAGTAATTTCTTTTTTTAGTTTTCAAGGTTCTCAACCCGTTTGGCTTGGTCCTATCAGAGACGATTGTTAACTTAAATTCGGAGGTCCCACCTCTTAAATAATCTAATAGTAATAGTGTGGATATTAACCTCACCCACTTGCTTACTCTTAAATTTGCATAACTTAATAGTGTTGATAGGGATGCTAAACCCAGACACTTACTTACTCTTAATCTTATATAACCTAATAGTGTTGATAGGGGCGTTAAACTTACCCACTTACTCTCCATTGCTTGGTGTTCCAGCTCATGTACTACAAGGCAGCCTGCGATTGTCTGCCCGAGACCAAGTCATCGTGTGATCCGCAAGCAGCCGAAGTGGCCAGGACTAAACTCATATTAGCCAGGTAGGACGAACACTTATATTGACCCGGTGGTTTTCTGAAACAAGAGCCACACTGGTTGTGGTCAGGCAGAAGCTCAAATGATATTGGGAAGGAAGTTTTTCTGAAACTACCTCTGCTAATTCTCTGAAAAGAAGACAATATTAACGAGCATCCGATATTGATCTGGAAGGGGAGTGTAAAATGTGTTACAGTCGAAATTGTCTAAGACGGCCTCACGTTGTCGAGGAGGAAAAGTGGTTGTGTTAGACAGGTGGGCGTCTTACACAGTGTCATTATAATGTTGAAAAAAAAAGTCGAGGGGGAAATTGGAAATGGCTGTTTGTCCAGGTGATTGTCTTGTACAGGTAGTCGGTTAAAACAGGTTGGATTGTATATATACGAGCTATTTACTCCAACCTTAGACAAACCATGCTACTAATGTTTACTTATATATTTGTACTTGTTACTTTTGTTTACTGTTGAGGGATGGCGCCAGTCGGTTAAAACAGATTGTACTGTACAAGCTATTTACTTCTTTAGACTAATCATGCTACTAATGTTTATTACATTTGTACTTGTTACTTTTGTTCACTGTCGACTGATGACTCGTCCATTCCCAGTGGGGCGGAGAACAGCGTGGAGCAAGCTCTGAAGGAACTCATGCGGCACCAGCTGTGGGCTGAGGCCGTGACCTTGCTGAAGGAGCAGTCGCACAACGAGGACACGCTGCCCACCTATCTGTACATCACGCTCAAGGCCATGGCTCAGGTCAGCTGGAAAAAATGTTTTAATTTCGGCGTTTTTACACCCCCATCGATACAATTTAGATCATGTAGGAGGCGAGTTTCCAAGCCTGCCTGTCAGGACCTTCCCCGGCTGAGAGGGATAAAACATCCTAGCAGAAGGACGGAAATACTTGATAAGAATTTCTCCCCATTTGGGAATTGAACCAGGGTCTCCTGCAAATGACAGTGAAGAGCATAACAGCTACACCCTAGACTTCGGTCTCAGGTCAATGAGGGCAGGTACTTTATAAATAGTCACAGTCAAAATTGTTTTGCAAGAATCAAAATAAAAAGGATCTTTTTTAGCTACCTCTCTAAATCAAAAACCCAGTTTAACCACACAAAAAAAACCCAGCTGTCTCGCAGATTTCAGTTTAAGCGGACTGCACTGTACATGTTTGTATTGGCCTGTAACAAGTCCTCATGTGTAATAAGAGGGGTATACTTTGACTCCAAAGTCGGACAATTTTTGTAGGTTGCATGTATAATATGTAAGGCAGCATGGTGAAATCAGGCGCTCGTCAAAATAATGACTCGGAGAAACAGGCATTTTTCCGCCAGTTTGGATATTTTTTTTCTCAAATTTTTAATTTTTGGCCTAAGCTCTTTTACATCCATATAAAAACACATTTCCATGTGAAATTTACTGAAAAACATTGGTTAAAGGCTCAAAATATTTCAGTTTTCAAAGACTCTTTAGCTATTGGAGTTACCAAACTTTAGCAGCAATTTTCTAGCTAATTTCACAACTGAAACCAGGCAACCTCACTTCCTTCAATCGCAAATATCATGAGTTCTATTCAAGATAAATGGATATTTATTTCATTAGAAGCAAGGCAAATAAATCAGCTTTCAGGTGATACCAATAACTCCACATGCCCAAAAATTGACGAGCGCCTGACTCCGCTGCGTCGTAACACACAAGTTCAAGGTGAATTTCTGACATGCTGGAGGGGCCTCAACACTTGTGAGATTGACTCATAATGTACTCTTTAAATGACGCATAACACATCACATACTCATTAGATATCATAAGAGCTTAGTATACAAATTAAATCTATGCAATTTTTTTTCAGGATGTGAAACACGCAGTCATTTTCACTGTCATTTACTAACAAACTTTTTTAAAAGTGACTATATGATGTGTAAGTATTACTGTTGCAACTGTTTGCTTTTAAGACTTTTTATCACGTTTTTCTTTAATTAAGTTTTTTTTTTTTTTCTCAGGGCCAGGTGCTGTCAGACTACGTGGGGGATCTTGTCTCCATCATGCCCTCGTGGAAAAGGTAAGAGACATGATGTATTATATATGAGAGACATTTAAAGAAAAAAATAGTATCTATATTTGATAATTTATTAATAAATTTTAAAAAACAGCATTATCTCAATCTCATATAAATTCTACTCATAGAATAAAGGCAGTGTGCTCTCTGTTCTGTGTGGTAAAATAGTCCACATATCTTTTAAAGAGCATGCCTATTTCATGTTGTATAAGCTGTCATTAAAATTTGGTGCTACTCTTTTGGTGCCTCAGTCATGGTTTGCTTTTGTCCTGTGCAAACATCCGTCTGAAGGAAACATTTGAGTATACTTTTAAAAGCAAGAACCTACTGGTATAAAATCATACGGTCATCATCAGTACGAGCTATTCAGTCATTGTCAAGTGTGTGATAATAACATAGTTTTGTATGTCCACCCAATATTTATTTGTGTGTGTGTGTGTGTGTGTGTGTGTGTTTGTGTGTGTGTGTGTGTGTGTGTGTGCATGCGCAAGAGAGAGAGAGAGAGAGTGTGAGTTTGTGTGTGAATGTGTTTGTGTGTGTTTTCGTGTTTGTGTGTGTGTGTGTGTGTACGAGAGAGAGAGAGAGAGTGTGTATGTGTGTGTGTGAATGTGTTTGTGTGTGTGTGTATAAGAGAAAGAGAGAGTATTTATGTGTGTGTGAATGAGTTTGTGAGTGTGTGAATGTGTTTGTGTGTGGACGAGTATGTTGGCATGTATGTTTTTACCATGCCTCAGCAGATCAATAAAATCTTATCTTATATTAACATCATTGACAGATATTGACAATTTTTCTGCTTTATTTCCCTCCCCAGTCTCGTTTCCTTCGCTGCCGTTGCTGCTCAGAACCCAGAAGTTCGCCAACAACAGTTGTCGCTGTCTGCGGCCAGCGTGTTTTCTCAAGGATCTACTAGCGTTCCCTTTGGATTGGTTAAACCTTTTCTCATCGATCTCATCGTCAAAATGGATGCACAACAGTAGAGACACAAAATGATGGTGTTGAATCGATCCTTGCAACCGGAAGAAAGACGAAAGATTACGATGGTATTAAGTCAATCCTTGTTAACCGGAAGAAAGATTATGACTTTTTTTGTTTTAAAACTGTTGTTGAAGTCAATCTGTTGGCGCTCAATAAGCTGTCCCCGTGGTTTTATGCACCCCGCATAATTTAGCAAAATTTGATCATTTTTTGCATAATTTCTGATTATTTTCCTTACTTTATCATTCTTTGTTAAAATTAACAGGATTGCATAATTTCACATTTTTGGGCTCAGTTTGCACGATTTCAGAATTTTTCTAGCATAAAACGACGGGGACAGAATATTATGTATTCCAGCTGATATCATGAAAGGGTTTTTGGTTTTGTCTGTATAAACAGGGTTCCCACTCCAAAGGGAAATCAGGAATTTCATTTTCAGCCGTAATGGTCATGAAAACGTAAGAATGGGTGAAAATGAACTCACCAAAAAGAACCCCTGGAGAAAGCTGGAAAAGTAGGCTGAGTCAGAGTGATCAAAGATAACACCTATCGGGGGGAAATTTTCTTCATGGCTCAGGTATTCCTGTGATCATCTAGCCGATTGATCTGTATAAATTAGATCGCCAATGCATGCTCATCATTACTTCTTCCTCTACGTCATCTTTTAGTTTTTAATAAGTTCACCGTGAAAATGGTCACAAAAGCCAGGAGTTAACAGAGGGGGTGGGGTGTTCTCTTTTTTTCTCCTTACTTAATGAGTAGGAATCCAGGGTTAAAGTTCAATTAGATACCCTACTACTAGCGGCAATATGTGGCTCCAGTGGCTAAGTGAGCAGTGAGTTCAGACTCAAGTAATGTAAAGCAAGTGTCAGTGACACAGAGTTTCGATGGGTGGTCACTGGAGTGTGTCCTTGAGCAAGACACGACAACCTAGGCTCAAAATACAGGGTGCTGCACAGTGGCGACCAGCAATGGCATGGTTGTGAACTTGTTCTGTACCTGTGTAATATTGTGTATTTATATATGTATTTGTGCATGTATTGATGTGTATGTATGTATGTATGTTTGCCAATGTGTATACCAAATTGCCCTTCTAGGATCAATAAAAGTGTAATTTATTATTATTTATTATTTTGTACAGTTTTAACGAGGGACATCTTGCTTGCCACAGTTGAGATGCGATAGAAATATGAAGAAAATTGTCGACTGAAAGAAAGCATATTGTTTGACTAAAGACGTAATCATTTGTTTCATAATCTTATCTCGATACCAAGTCCTTGCAGAAGTTGGCTTCAAATCAAAGGCATCCGGGGGGGGGGGGGTTTGAAAGTGTTATCTAGTGCTATGTACCAGTTTGGTTTTTATTACAAGTACTGCCCTGTGCACACTGCAAATCAAGTGGACATCTTACACAGTGTCATTTTAGTTTTTTTTTCAAAGCAAGGGAGGAAATGGGAAGTGGCTGTTTGTTCGTTTTTGTTTTAGTAGAGGTTTTACGGCGCTCGCAACTGCATAAGTATAAGGTCATATAAGTGCCAAGGGGTGGATGTCAACAGAGAAGTCCTTACACTTACAGGGAATCAGACTTTCTCTGCTCACCTCTCTTGCTTCAACAGCACAATGTCTGCTTCGACTATCAAGGCACCCCGGAAATAGCGGGTCACAATAGTGTGACATACATACTAAAGAAGTAGAGGAAAATGACGATAGTAAGGATTAGGAAAGAAAAAGCAGCAGTTCCCTGTTGTAGTTCAGGCACAGTTATGAACATGACATTGTTGGATCAGCCCATTTACAATTCTACTTTGCATTAGAACGAGAAATGTGTGCTCTTTGGGAATGGCCTTAAGACACTTCAGTCAGTGGCGCCGGGTTATGTTTGTTCAGGTGATTGTCTTCTCTAGGTGGCCATAAGACAGAGAGCAGGTTTGACTGTACTCTCGGGATGGCAAAGATGAACTTTGTGTTTCCTCCACATGTTTTGGCCAAGTTGTTAAGAAAACACATCTCATTTACATTTTGTTTTGTATTGCGTAAAAACAGTGATGACGAGGGCAATTTTTATAACTGCTTTTCTTGCATGTATATTTACTTGTATTTGTATAGAATTATTTGTTGTTTCCTTGGTTTTGGCCTACAGAATCCAGAAAAATGGTTGGGAAAGTGTGTCAAATGTTTCAACTGTTGCATTATTTATATTTGTAATTCAGTCTTTCAATTTAAAAAAAATGAGATACAATTAGCGACCTGTAGTTTTGTAGTCTTGTTTGAAAATAACAGTTGTTTCCTGGCATAATTTTCATGTTGTTGACAAGCTGTTCAAGTGTCCCAAGCCCACAAAGTAACATTAAAGAGAGAAAAAAAACATATTTTTAAAAAAGAAATTGTACCTATTTTATGTGGGGGGTTTTCTTTTTTCAACATAAATAATTTGAATTTTGACAAAATATTCCATGATCACATACACCCAATATTAGATCTAGAGATTAAGAAACTGCAATCTTTTCAAATGTCAAAATTTTGGGCTTTGTACATCTGAACAGCTGACTGACACGACACTGTTACTCAGTTCCTGTGTCAGGAAAAGTTCATCCCCAGGACAGGGACTGTTAGACTTTTGAGTACAGAAAAGCACATCACCACAATAACAGTTCACATTATAGAGCAGGGAAGAAGCAAAACAGACAGAAACAACAGAGAGACAGAAGAGAACTAGTCACTTTTAAGCTCAAGGGGGCTATCCGAAAAATGCTGTTTTGAGAAAATCAAAGGTAAAGTTTTTGCCCCTTGTTCAGTTTTTTTAAAAGGCAAGGAGAGTTTTCTCTATAACCAAATATACACACCAACGAAACCAAACTTCTCCTAGGTAGGGCAATGCCCACTTTTGGTGTAGGTCAAGATTTCTGGAAACCCCCGAAATCTGGGTTAGCCCGCTTATCCTTAATTAAAAGCGACCAATTATGACCTACCAGTGCCAGTGGTGCTCTCCAACCACCTGCAAGTACTGCCAGAAAATCTTTTTCTACATTACAGAGGCCCTGGGTACGGTGTAAGTTCGGTCACAGTTAGCTAGTGTCTCAAATTTAAAATTACTCTTCCTGCAGTGTTGAATGACATTCTGGGTTTCTACAACTCTAATTTTATTGTTACAGTAAGGTTTTACGGTGCTCGCAAGTGCAAAAGGTCATATGAGCGCCAATGGGGTGGATGTCAATAGAGAAGTCTATACGGGGAATCAGGCTTACTCTGCTCATCTCTCTAGCTTCAACAGCACAAAGTCTGCTTTGCCTATCAAGGCACCCCGGAAATAGCAGTTCACAAGAGAGAGACAAACATACAAAAGAAATAAGAGGAAAAAGGACGATAGTAAGGATGAGGAAAGAAAAAGCAGCATTTCCCCCATGTTGTTCCGGCACAGTATGAGCATGACAACTCTTGGCAATGAAAATCATATCATCTTGGAGGTAGGCTGGCTTCCAAACATGCCTGTAGGGAGGAGGGATAGTTTTTAGTTTTAGTAGAGGTTTTACGGCGCTCGCAACTGCATAAGGTCATATGAGCGCCAGAAGATTAAGGTGTTACAAGAGAGTAACAAACATAAAAAAGAAGAAGCGGAGAAAAGGAAGATAGATGTTTGATCTGATAGGAAAGAAGAAGCAAACCACACCAGAGCACCCGCCAACCACCCACAGGGAGGAGGGATAAGGAAGATAGATGTTTGATAGGAAAGAAGAAACAAACCATACCAGAGCACCCACCAATCACGCGCATGCTAAGACAAAACATATAGTAATTACTTGGAAGACACTGTGCTCGTAAGCTCTTCTCTTTCCCTTTTATTTAAAAAAGCACTCGTATACCGGCCTGTTCAAAACACATTCCGGCCTGTTCAAAACACATAAGTGCCTATTCAAAATAAAACATCTGGAAACATGAACATGGTTTTTGCAGAGTCAGAGTCAGCGCACACTACATGAACTTGAATGAGAAGGGGGGGGGAATGATATGGGGAATAACAATAAAAAAAAGAAATAAAACGTGAAATGACACATGCCAATTTCCTTTGAAAGAAAAGGCAAGAATATTATACATATATACAAACTCTCTAAGCATTTTTTGTTAAATCTTCACTACATGTTAAATCAATGACACAGCAAAATTTACCAGAACATTTCACAAGAAAAAACAATTACATAAAAAACAAAACAAAAGATAAAATGTCAATTTCAACTGCCTATATCAGGGCTTTAGTAACAAACCTATACTTATAATCAATATTTTCAGCTCTCACATAAAACAACTCTTGCAGACCAACACAACTCACGTGTTTATTTTAATTAGATTCATTTCTTTTTTTCTCCCTTTCTCTCTACTATATTCTTCTCTTTATTTCATTCTATTCCCCTCTTTCTTTCACTCAATTTTTCTCTCTTTTCTTCTCTCCCCTACACTTTGGCTCTAGTGAGAAGCTTAGACAAAATCAGTTCTAGTTCAACCATACCAAAACGATGTCATCAAACTCAAAACACTCTCCCTCTCTGCCCCCAATAATGTAGTGAAAGCCATGCTTTTCACAATACAACTGAGGTAAAAAAAAAAATTTAAAAAACCACCCCTTCAAGTTTGAGAGTGACAACATAACATAACAAATAAAAACCAGTAAAAACCCACAAATCTATCTCTTGTTGAAAACCAAGCAGCAACATCATGCAGCTTGAAAAAAAAAAATTTTTTATGAAGGTGTTTTTACACCCCCGTCGACACAATATGTACCATTTTGGGAGGCAGGCTGCCAACCTGGCTTGTCAGAACCAACCCGGACCGAGACCGAGATAATAAAAATTCTCCCCACTTGGGAAAAGAGTTCGGGTCTCCTCTATGCCTACACCACAGACGTCAGTTGCAATGGAAAAGCAGTTTGAAGGAAGTCTACAACACAATCAAAGAAAACTCCACAAAACAAAAAAACCCACAAAAACAAATGGCAAATTAGTCCTCCAAAGTAAATGGACTGACCTGACCTGTTTAGTTTTAATAAAAGTTTTACGGCACATGCAACACAATAAGGTCATAAAACTTTTAAGTGCCGAAGACTAGAGGTGTTACAAGAGAGCAGGGAAGAAAAAAAAGAAGAAGGGGGGGGGGGGGGGGGAGATAAACATGACAGATGTTTGATAGGAAAGAAGAAGCAAACCACACCAGAGCACCCGTCAGTCACCCACTTGACCTGACCTGTAATACCCAAAACAAACAAAAAAACCAAAACAAAACAACAAAAACTGGCGCTGTGGCCAAAATGGAAGGGTGCATCAATGATGAAGAACAAAAACAACGACCTGGAATGACATTTCACTTGCATAAATAATTTTAAAGCTTGCCTCGGACATGATGATAAAACCGACCAACATACAGACAGAACGTGACGACACAAGAGTGTGCTCACGCACACCACTAACAATCATTAACTTTTCCCCACTCCTCAGTCAATGATAACTGTATGACGTGCCCCCATCAGCAGTCTACATCATGTAGGGGGATGGTTCGTTGCTTTAAACACCACTTTTTCTCAATGACCTATTATATCGGCACGTGGTTTGACGAAAAACTAAGGCATAATATATTTCAACAGATACTTTGGTTCTCTCAGATTTTCAGCTTCCGACATATTAATTACTGGCAGCAACACTTGATAGCCCACTGTCAGGCAAAATAAGATTTTTACCATCTCTTTTCAGTGAAAAAAAACCCCATAGGAATCCACTTCACGCATCAAAACTTTGATCTGCAAAATGTCAATTCCTGTCCGTAAAATCGAAGGATGAAAAAAGTTAAACCGCCTCTGGACCATATATATAAATAAAAAAAACACAAAGTCAATACAATTGAAAACATTAACAATTAAGAACATTGTTAACAACTTAGAAAAAGATACCTTAATGACAAACAGTCCTGATAAACAAACTGGTCAATGTCTTTTCCCGTTTAATGTTCACTCATTTGCAAGAAACAGAGGAATTGGGGCCATGCATGACTGACGGGCAGGGGGGCGAGGGACAATGGTGCATAATATGAATAAAGATCAGCAGTTCATAGGAATCATAGGAAGAACAGTATAATAAACAGGAAAATACAAATGCATATCAGGTTACGAAATTTGACTCGGCATGCAAGTCTTACACACACACCAAGCGTGACGCTGATCACACACTCAATGCACACTGATCCCATACTTCTCCACACACGATGATCACACTCTCCTCCATACACGCTAATCATACACTCGACGCATGTTGAACGCATTCCTCCACACAGGCTAGTCACACACACCAAGCACGACACTTATTACACACTAAACGCACACACACTGGACACACGCAGATCACACACTCAACTCAATCTGATCGTAATCAGACAGAGGCAGGTCAACTGATCGGGTCAGTTTAGGATAGATACATCAGACAGGTTCTCTGGTGGTATACGCACAAGATCCATTTGTTTCCCATCCACAAAAAAGTGGTGTAGGACTTCATTTCCTTATCGTCTTGCAAATGATATAGCAGAAGACTACATTTTCCTATCATCTTGCAAAAAGTGTTGAACAAATCTTCATTTCTTTAAGGTCTTTCAAAAGGGATGGCAGAAGGCTACATAGATTTGTATGCCACCTCAAAAAATAAAGTGCAACAGAGGGCAGCAGTCCTTCACTGACTCATGAAGGGCTACATTCACTAACTGGCTCATGAAAGGCTACATTCAAAACCTCCATTTCAATCATCAAGACATTCTCTCACTACCACAAGCATCACATCAGACATCCACAAACCTTTCTCTCTCTTTTCACATTGAACACTGATATCCTAAAATCTATCTCTCTGTCTCTCTCTCTCTTTCTCATGCATCATAATATCACTCATTCAAAAATCTCTCTCTCACATGCATGACAATATAACACACCAAAAATCAACGGGAGTTTCCTCCAGTGTGCACACTCCACACCCCAATTCCAGCACACTTCCAGCAGTCACTCCAGAATATTTACACTACCACACAATCAATACAAGAACACCACAAGTGGGCTCTTCTGTCACCTCTAAAAGTAAAAGCAAGCGTTATTACGCCGCCATCAACACAATTTAAATAATTCAGGGGGAAGGCTTCCAACTCTGCCTGTCCGAGCGAAACCAGGCTGAGAGGGATACATCCCAGCAGAAAGACTGAAATACCCACCATAATAAATTTCTCCCCGCACTCAGGAATTGAACTCGGGCCTCCTGCATGCGACAGTGGAGAGCATAGCCTGCTACACCACAAACACCAGTTCTGTCACCTCCGTGTCAAAAACAAAGTTCGGCATCCCAGTTCTCCCCACCTGCAGCAGTCTGTGGCACCAACTGAACTATCATTGCTCCTTTCCTATCACGCATCCGTCGTCCCTACCTCTTCTCCTTCTTTCCTATCACCCATCTATCGTCTTTATCTCTCCTCCTACGTGGATGGTTGACTGGAATTATGGTGTAGTTTGCTCCTTCTTACTTCTTTCTCATCAAAAGCAAACATTATCGTCCTCATCTCTCCTTTTATTTGTATGTCATTACTCTCTAGTAACATTTCTAATCTTTGGCACTTATATGACCTATTTGTGCTGAAAGTCTGCAAGTGCCATAAAACCTAACTGGTAAAACTAACATTTCCTTCTAATAAAACTGGGCACAAAAATAACTGTACAATAACAGAATATCTTTTACGTAAGGTCTTCATTTTATGGAGGGTGGTTGGAGGATGCCATTGGTAGGTCCTTCTTTTCTCTCCTCTCCTCCCCCCGTTTTAGTCTGTCTTTTTCAACATCACTAAAGGACCGTTATTGACTGAGAGTACAGCTCTGTGAAACCCCACCTCAACAGACAAGCCAGTTGAGCAAGGCTGCTGTAAGCCTGTGGAATTTTCCTACAAGAGCTAAGCAGCTTCCACATACGTACTCACAGCACCAAAAAAAAACCTTCCATGAAAAACCATCTGTTGCAAAGTATCCAGCCAGTAGGACAGCAATTTAGACCTATTAGTACCGCACTTTCTGAGACACTTGAATAAACACAAGAACCTTGAACTGATAAAATTGAAGGCCAATGAGGCAGGGGTAAATCCACAGCAACTTACACAAAGCCTAAACAGATGGGTGAGGAGGAAACATGAGGATAATACAGCTTTTCTGAATGCATCCGAGCAAAGGAATGAATGGGGAACCATGACTGCTGATGTTTGTCGCAGATCTGACACTCAGTGATGATGAGTACCATACAGTTGTCAAACTATTTACATTTGGGTCTTCATTATGCGCATAAATTTCAGTGAAATCCCAACTGGTTAAAGGTGCTACAACAATCCCCACCTGCTTCCGTCACAAACACAAATAAAACTTTGTTATTGTTAGACAATGTCACCACTTCTCTGAAACCAGGAATGCCACTACGATTGTGTGAGAATACCTGAAAATTTATGAGGCTGCATTTGCAAACAAAAAGACACTTTATAGACACAACTAGTATGAAGTAAAACAGAAAACAAAATTCTTAGAATAATACCTGTTCTCCGGGAGAAATAAAAGAAATAGTGGGGAAAAGTAAAGTGCTTGCTTTCCCCCCAAATTTGTCACAAGAAATTACCAGCCTACATCACAAGTAGCATGGCGTTACTGCCTCTATCAGCACAAAACTCCATGGTACTTCCAGAGCTGAAGTGAAATTGACTCTGCAATTTCATGATAATTTTAACCTATACAGTAAAATCAATGCTTCTCAGGTAGCTGAGAATGTTTCAGAATTCCTATAAAGTCGGTTGGGGGGTGATGATAAACTGTAAAACGCTCACCATTACTATCACTATCATTAAACTGATGAGAACCAGCCAAACGATCAAGTCCCTTATAAACACAGGGTCACAACACAAAACCAACAGATATCGGACGGGACAGCTTCTGGATGAGCGAGTGACCACCCGTGGAGCGACCCCTGAACAAGACAAATTCACTCGTCTTCAATCCAAAAACTGATGCAGCATTGTTGCGATCAAAGAAGGCACACCAGTGTCTCAAATTATCTACTGCCTTATGTCTTATTGTCATACTGTACGTGCCATTGCAAAACATTTCTCCTGAAGACGCTGGCAACTAGCAATGTCCCACCATGTTAGAAATGAATTGTCACATTATGCTTTACGACATACCACACATTACACTACCAGCCAAATCTCCAAAACGAAGGATAAGCCCATCTTTCCTTGTCTTCCAATTTCTTTCATTTCAGCATTGCTCCGACTAAAACAGAATAAAAACACAAGCCTGTAACATTTGCCTGCTCAATAAACCCTCTGCACATTAACCAACATACTGTTTATCATCTTTTCTAACACATTCTGCCGAGAGCCACCAAGAGAGATGTAACCTTGGACAAAAGGAAGACCAAAGAGAATAAATGGCAGCAAACAGTGCCATCGAAGTGATTATTCCCGTCTACCCAGCAACAACATAAAGAAAGCCCACCCCTCCAATAAAAACTGCATCGTTTAGAACACTGTGGGTGAGTACTTACATCACACTCCAAGCCCTTTTCAACACAACTTGGGGCTGGCAATTTTTCCTCTGTTATTTGCATATCAATTCCTTTCATAGAAAGGCATACGCAAAAACAATATATATATATATATACGTAATATGCATTTAAAAACAAATCCAGATATTTAGAGACGACAGATTGCCTATCCCCAAGCAGTATTTCTTTGTTGCTGAGAAAAACCCATCAGATTTGATTTGTTGTTAAGATACATAAACCCTGAGAAGAGAGTAGTTTCAAACCGTTCAGTCCAGTCCTCGAGGCGTCACAGATACCAGGAGATATATATCTCGTATAATATATCTATATATACAATATTTTGTCAAATCCAGGAACAGAGTCGACCAAGGCGGCGTGGGCGGATAGCTACAGATACCGAGAGGCCACCAGATCCTCCACTGTGCCCGAGCTCCACGACATTAGCTGGTCCTACAAAAGGAAGAAAGAGAACAAAAGGGAAAGTTAGAGACCACCTTCAGCTAGCCTGCTCAAGCCGTGCTGCACTTTACGCTGAGTGAGACTGATCAATGCTTTACTTTTCTTTGGGGGGGGGGGGGGGGGGGAGTTCTAGTAAGAGTTTTACGGCACTAGCAACACAATAAGGTCATATAAGTGCCGAAGATTAGAGGTGTAACAAGAGAGTAACAAACCAACTGGTTTCTCAACATCCGATCAGAGACACCAAACACTGTAACATCAGATTCCATAACCACAATCACATCAGGTGCGACTGGTTTTTTGTGTAGTGTTTGTGATAAGTCAACAATGTCCTCTCTCTCAAATGTTCGATTGCCTAATCTGGGACAGTTTAAGTTTTAGTTGTAGTACGAGTTTTACGGCACTTGCACCACAATTAGGTCATATAAAAGCCGAAGATTAGAGGTGTTACAAGAGAGTAACAAACATAAAAAAAGAGGGAGGAGAGACAAGGACGATAGATGTTTGATAGGAAAAAAGGAGCAAACCACACCAGAACACCCACCAACCGCCCGCAATCTGGAACAGTTTGGGGAAATTCTGGACAGTTGACTAGTCTGCAAAAATTAGTTGGAGAATACAACAACTTGAGCTGACAATCAGGAGAAAAAAAAAACATCAACAAGGAAATTACCTGTGGCAGGTACAGGCACAGACTGCGCAGTTTGTAAACCATCACTTTGTTTTTGGTGGTCTGGGGAAAGAGAAAAAATTTTTATAATTAAAATGTTCATATAAATACAAAATCAAACTGATAATGGGAAAACCTTAGGTACCTGGATATCTATGATTACAGTGTGGTATATACCTTCAAAGACACTGAAATGAACGGGAATTTGTTAACACTTTGTCAACCTAATGTTTACCTTACTCCTGGATTCGGCACTTTCCTAGGAGCAAAGTGGCACTGACTGACAACAAGGACTCAAGGCAAAGAGGATGCTAAAGTTAGACATCTGCACGTGACTTAATGACATGGACTGTCCATCCAGGTCTGGCAGTTATTCTCCCCTTATACAACGGGATGGTTGGCAGTGAGTTGGGATAGCCGAAATTTTTAAAAATCAGAATCGGGGGTATTAGGAATGTTTTTTTCGTAAAATTTAATAAAAATCGTGACAATTCCGCAAACCTCATAATAATGGGCAGCCCTGGTGTTCTAGTCTGCTGGGATGTTGTATCCCTCTCAGCCGAGGTTGGCCACCTTCTAAATGATCTTCAGTTTTATTAAGAGTTTTACAGCACTTGCAACACAATAATAAAATATAAGTGCTAAAGATTAGAAGTGTTACAAGAGAGAAACAAACACAAAAAAGAAGGAAGAGAGGCAAGGACGATAAATGTTTGATAAGAAAAAAGGAGCAAACCACACTTGAGCACCCACCAACCACCAACCTAAATAATCTAAACTGTGCCAATGGGGACATAAAAACACATTTTAAAATATTAACTCAAAATAAAAATTAAAAATAAACATTATAAGTTCACAGCCATAAACCAAGGCATCAGTGCTTACTTGCAAATGATGCTTGTCCACAAACAAGAACACTGTCTGATCAGGGTTGGTGACGATAAGCCCATTCTTCTCCCGCACTGTCAGCAACCGCATCAGTTGTCGCTCGTAGTCGTCACTTCCAAAGGAATACTCGGCCTGAGAAAGATAAGTCCATTACTCAAGAGATATACAGGCCTAATCTCTTAAAGGTTCTGAGTGCTGTAAAATGCAGCATTATTAATCAACTTAACTGACAAATAAAAAGACAAAAAAAGCACATCGTGAGACCATTTAATAAGACACACACACACGCATGCACACACAAACACACACACCAACTCCCAGACACATACACATTTCACATACAAAATTTTAATGTATATTTGCCTTTCTGGAATCTAGACCTACATCTCGCGACCTCAGTGCTTTCTTGTCGCATCCTTATTTTTTTTCACATTGAAAATGTGACTTCTTCCTATGCTCACTCTTTGTTATGAACTGTTTCCACTGTTTAAAAAAAAGGGCGATACGACAAGAAAGCACTGCGGTCGCGATCTGCTGCTTTATCATCATCGATTATATTGGGTGCAAAACAACTTCTTCCAAATCACTTTCATTATCAGATTCACTGTCACCTGAGTCACTGACATCAACACTTATGTTCAACATTATAGTTGATGGGCTAACAATCACAGACTGAAGACAGTTGATAGCCACTGTAACAGTCAACAAAAACTTTCCAGTTTCACTTTTGCGAATGCTGCGTCTGGTTGATTCTAGTCACAAATAATAATTTGTGAGGCGTGCTGACAAAATGAGTTACTTCTCTCAATGCACAAAAGGAGATCAAATCGAAACTAGGGTCAAATTTGTAGATTTTCTTTTTATGCCATATACTTTTAGTACAACATGCCTTTTATTATTTCATACTTATAAATTGTAAAAACTTCACCTTTGAGAGAGATGTATCTATGAATTAACACCCCCCCCCCCCTCCCCCCCAAAAGAAAGTTTTCTTACACATAACGGAACGACTTTTAACACCAATGATTCAGGTCTTTTATTCTGAACTCTTTTACTAATCAAAACTCACACTCAAGGGCTTGAAAGGTGCCTCTTCTCCCTTCCAGCGTGAATACAAGTGGCATTGGATATTCTCTATGTCATTCCTGGGCCACAAGAAGAAATCCAGTTGACTTATACACCCAATAACATCCTGAAAAAAAAAAGCAACAACAGTTTAGCCATTTCACCTCTTTTTTTTACTAAACGACCAAAACACACAGCCAGATCCACAATTGCAATATGTGTAAATTTACTCTTCTGCATTTTCAAGGCACTTTATTTAAACTTAAATATGATGAAACACACTCTGACCACACAAACAGAAATGGCCAGGAATAAGCAAAACAAGACGACCCAGGAATATATTTTTTTTTTTTTTAAATAGTAGAGGGTTTTACGGTGCTCGCAACTGCATTTAAGGTTTTATGAGCGCCAAGGGGTGGGTGTCCACAGAGAAATCTTTACAGGGAATCAGGCTTACTGCTCACCTCTCTAGCTTCAACAGCACAAGGTCTGCTTCGACTATCAAAGCAACCCAAAATAACAGGTCACAAGAGAGTGACAAACATACAAAAGAAGTAGAGGAAAATGACAATAGTAAGGATCAGGAAAGAAAAGGCAGCAGTTCCCTGTTGTAGATCAGGCACAGTTATGAGCGTGACATGAATCAGCCCATTATTACAATTCTACTATGCTTGAACGAGAAATGTCCCCCCTTTGGGAATGGCCTAAAGACACATCAGTCAGTGGCACTGCCCCGGGGGGTACCCAGGAATAAGTAAAACAAGAACGTTCTATATTTTTTTAAAAGAACAATTCACATAATCCTGTAAACAGAAATCAGATCAACTAACAGAACTGCCAATTGCAAACTATGACAATGACACCCTCCAACCACCCATCCAAAACAACATAACTAACACCACAGTTCATCAATTACGAAAAAGAACAAGAAGCTACCAGTGTTCTTGCATTATAAAATGTAACTCCACGCATCTATTTATACCATAATAAGAAATTGCAATTTGCAACATGCCACTCAACAAACAGTGAAAGTAAGCAGGCAAGCTGAATACATAAAACATTGTAAACACACACACACAAATATCGAGACATTATAAGAAAAGTACAACAAACCCGTCTCATTGGCTGCCACCTGTGAGCATGAAACTGTACAACGTCTTTATCGATGAGCTCTCGAGAGCTTTCGTATGAGTAAGAGTCGTTCTGGAATAACAGAGACAAAAGAAACAAAACTATGACAAACCAACAGAGATATAACAAGATAAAATATTTATTTATATATTTACGCCTACTTCATGATTTTATAAATTCTATATTTTGAATTCCATGCTTTCCTAAAAAAGTTGAATGGTCTTCATATTACAAACTACAGCAGACTTTGAAACAAAATTCCTTACACAATGCATTGCAACCTCACTTAACATGAAATCTGCTTAACGCCACTAACAAATTCTCTGGCCCCATGAAGTTTGCCTTATTATCAGGATTTTACAGCATGTTATGCAGGAGCAAGCCGAAACATTCATGTCCGCTTTGGGAAAAAGATGGCATATTAATTATAGAAAAGACTGGACAGAATTATAAGATATTTTGCATTACACGAACTACAAAACAAGAATTGTACGATATTTGACAGGAGAACTGATTAAGGCCTAAAAAGAACACGATAAACGTGTTGAAGCTTGCGTTTTAAAAAAAAGGAGAAAAAATAGAAACGCATACCGCTTTCACTCATAGTGTCTGGGAAGATTGTAGCAATGCCAATGAAAATTTAATTTTTCGCTTTAGCCTGAGAAAGAGTTTTCAATTCTAAGAATTATGCTTTTTGAATTTTAAGAATCGGTTCATGAATAAAAAAGGTATGGGGTTGCAAAGGTCGGCAAAATATGGATGACCCACATGAAAATACTCCTAAAAGTGGACCACGCAGTAGCATTTATAATCTGTAAGAAAATCGACGATATATCTCAGTAATTAAATTGGAGTGAAGGAAAGAAACTGGTCTACCCAATGTGTTTTTGGGTGGAGAAATCATTTCTGCAGTCAGATTTACTAACAATTTCATAGTTATTTTGTTATAAACAAATTGTTCACATACATTTCGATTTTGCGAAAAAGGGGTGTCGGGATGAGAGCATTTTATTTATAAATAGCATCGTATCACAACATGGGATCTTTAAGAATATGTTGGAAGCATGACTAAATAATGGCAAAGCCTTCTTTGATGACTAGACCATGCCAAACATAAAATATAATTTAATTTAATCTAGCAAGCCGTACAATTTTTTAAAAACTTTTTCCCCGTTGAGACGCAAACACCCCGAGGCGAGATAAGCTTGCCTCGGAATATCCCCATTATGACATTACAGGGGAACAATGAACGGGAATAGTCATGCGGGGATTTGTAAGTCACATACATTTGCCTAGGGAGTGAGGGGAAAATGGCCAGATGCCGCGTGAAGCCGCTTTGGACAGGGGGGGTAGTGGTACATTTATGATAAATTCTAAACAACTACTTGACACAGAACGTTCAAATTTGAGGACACTATAGAGGAAAGATAGACCTCTTACCATCTTGACGTTGAATATCAAACTCCTTATAGTTTTCTGTGTGCCCGATACGAAAGTGTTTCCGACACCAACGGTATAGGTTAATTTATGTGTGTAGAAACTTCAACATCCACGTATATCATTAGTTTGCCCTATTTTCTGATTAGTTTGTTTGTTTGTTTAGTATAGGGTTTTACGGCGCTCGCAACTGCATAAGGTCATATGAGCGCGCGGGATACACCTAATACTTTTTCGTTGGTAGGAAATTTTGAATTTTGCCCGGGTGGCGGCCGAAGCCTACTCTTATCGATTTTAGACCACCAAGGGATCTTTAACGTGCGCAACTTGCACACGGGCCCTCCGAGATTTTTCGCCCTTGTCCGAGAAGGCTAGGTGTAGATCTTTCCTACCGGAAGATCAGGGGTGTGGCAGAAAGACAGCAGTTAGGAGGAGCCAGGGAGTAGCAGTAGAAAGGCTGCAGAAAGAGTCAGGAGCCCAGAGGAGGGGGCAAAGGGGGTGAGGGGGTGGGGGCAGAAAGTGGAAATGAAAGCAGACAACAGAACATTGTTAGAGATCAGGAAAGGATGTGAAAGGAGACAATTTTAGAGAAGAAAATTTTTTTTGGTCGCTACCCGGAATCGAACCCGGGACCTTTGAATGAGAGGCCAACACCTTAACCTCTAGGCCACGAGAGCCCCTCTGATTGGTGGCCAAGTATTATTCACATTGGTCCAGAAATAGCGCAGAACGAGTTTGAGAAAGTTAGTCACTTACGTTCCGACCCGATCCAAAAATTAACCCGCTAACGGGGACCCAAATTTCGCTGAATATGGAATTGAGCTGGGTATATTTGTGCATGGGTGTGTCTATGTGTGGGTGAGGGGGAGGGAGATGCTGTCGATACACTTTTAATTTTTCTTCAACAAAAATTCATCATTTCTTATGCAAACAAAAAAGCGCACGTGCAACTCCTGTACAGTAAAAAAAAAAAAAAATTATGACGAGAACTCTACCTTGACTCCTTGCAAAATGCTGTGTTCGTAGTTGTTTGTCATTACAGGTAGGACTTCTGCAACTTCAAACAGGGCACTTTTCTTTTTCTGAAAAAAAATGCGTTTTGATTAAAATATAATTATCAAAAGTGACAAAAGTGGCAGAAAACAAATCAAGATGACATATATATATTCTATATAATGTATACAGCTTGATTCATCAATGCAGCATTATATTTACCACTGTATATTATATTTCAAAGCTTAAAATTTCCAAGGCCCACACCCCACCTCTTTGTCTTTTTTATTGACACTATCATACAAAGACTCATTTTCAGGTGGCTCTTGTCGCCTAGAGGTTAAGGTGTTGGCCTCTCATTCAAAGGTCCCGGGTTCGAATCCCGGTAGCGGCTGAAAAATTTTCTTCTCTAAAATTGTCTCCTTTCACCTCCTTTCCTGCTCTCTAGCAATATTCTTTCGTCTGCTTTTGTCTCCTCTTTCTGCCCTCACCCCCTCACCTCCTTTGCCCCCTCCTCTGGGCTCGACTCTTTCTGCAACCTTTCTACTGCTACCCCTTGACTCCTTCTTACAGTTGTCTTTCTGCCACACCCCTGACCTTCTGGTAGGAAAGATCTACACCTAGCCTTCTCGGACAAGGGTGAAAAATCTCAGAGGGCCCATGTGCAAGTTGCGCACATTAAAGATCCCTTGGTGATCTAAAATCGATAAGAGTAGGCTTCGGCCGCCACCCGCGCAAAATTCGAAATTTCCTACAACTAAAAGTATTTATGTGTGTCCCGCGCGCTCATATGACCTTATGCAGTTGCGAGCGCCGTAAAACACCAAAAAAAAAAAAAACAAAAAAAAACTTGTTTTCACTGAGGGCATGTTACATTTCTGCTTCATGCATACTTCACATTTTTAAACCATCATAAAAGTACAAAATTTACAGAAAAACAATTACAAAGGGAAAAATGTTGGCCTACCTGAGCAAAGAGGCTGATCTAGTCTAGAGCCAGACACACCATGCTACTCTATTACAACCGTACTATAATTCATGCCATATAATATGATTATCTTCACCACTGACCACTCCCTGTAATTAAACTTAAAATTTATAGTGGTAAAATTTTTGCTCCTCTAGGCCTACTGCCCACCTGCTTCAAACAAAAAAATTAATTAGTTGAGAGCAATCAGCATCATGTCAAAAAAGCGTCACTTAGTATAGAGATCTAGATCTAGTAAGAGAGTAAACTAAAATAATAATTAGCTTGACCTTGAACAGACGAGATTCGCCTTTGCCTAGGACTCTCCCAAGCACTGTTCAAGGTTTTACAACCTGCGAGTGTGAGAAGTTTGACAACACAACCCTGCAAGCTACATAAAATTTATAAATGAGAGCTCAAACAAATAGAAACTAGAATCTTAGCATTAATAGCTCGTTAACTCAATTTACTTCTCTATAGCCTAGAGGACTTCCGTAACGAGCGACCACTATGAATCTATGTCTATGATGAAGAATCTATGTCTATGATGATCCGAGACAGAGCAGAATTGAGGGCTAGGGGGTAGGGGTAGGGGTAGGGGTAGGGGTAGGGTTAGGCCTCTTCTTTATCGTGTTTGATGGGGTGGTCGCTCATTACGGAAGTCCTTCCTTGATTTAGATTTAGATTCTAGGTACCCATCTGCAAATTGAACCTTCAGAATGTTTTAATAAGATTTGATTTCTATCCTCAAGTCAGTCCTACCTCATCTTTGAAGTGAAATGATATGTACATCTTGAAGTCAAACTGATCTGCAAGAGATTCCCTCTTCTTTCGTAGGTTGTTTCTCAATCTGCTTACAGCAGCATTTTTTCTTTCCACTGGATCTCCCATATTTTGTGTACTCAGAAAAGAATTAGCTCCAGATTACAAGAATTCCTTTTCAATCCTTGAGGCTGCACATGAGACTGCAATAAATATAAAACTTGTGACGTGAGACTTGTCGTTTGTCGGGACCAACTTCTGACTTCCGAAAGGCCGGGATCACCAGTGACACCAGGACATTGAGCAATTGATTATGCTTCCACGTACTAGTATTTACAACATTTCTATAAATATATTACCCTCCTAATTGTTACAGTCTTCCCTATGATGTGGTATCATTACAGTCACATGGGGTTTCACTGGGCAGCTCGAGCAAACCAGTGTTGGTTCTATGATGAGCCAAGCACACATACTCAGACACAACGGACCATTCAGAAAGGGTGGAAACCATTGTCACCGCTTTATTTCTAGATGTTTGGGGTGGTGTATTGCTCAGCAAATGCGGAACATGTAGACATGGCATGGTGACAAGTTCCCCTTGAAAACAATTCACCAGCAACTCCAATAAAATATGGTAGGAAGACGACTCAGTAGAGAAGTAGGCTGTTTCAGCTTTCCCACAATAACAAGATGGCGTAATCAATCGGATGTCGTAATCAAGAGGACATAACTCCTAATGACAACAAGCAATGCATGACTTTTCTACGACGCTTTGAGACTGCTCTCGTGAATCCAATGTTTACGTATCGTGTATAAGAATAGTAGCTTTTTAAATAAAAGAACTATACTCGTGAAAATCGCATTTTCTTTTTTCCTTCTTTTTAAAAAATATCCCCAAATGCAGCCTATAAGACGCGCTTGGAAAGTATGTCTTCTAGATCTAGATCTAAGTGCACATTGTACTTTTATTATTATAATTTTGTTGTTACAGTAGTCTCCGCCTAAGATCCCACCGCTTACGATACCGGTTCGCTTAAGATCCCGCTGTTTTAAGAAAACAGAATTTTTACAATACAAAAGTCAACCCTAAGATCCCGCTCTGATTCACTCTTAAAAAGGTCTACATTCAGCTAAGATCCCGCATTTCAGATTATAATTTGCGGAACAAAAACTCGGGCGGGCACAGCCGATCAACCAAGGGGGAAAAGTTGAGATAAAAAAAAAAAAAACTGTCCGTCGCGTCAAAGATCAGCCAACTATCGTGAATGTGATCACATACACGTTGTAAAACTCGATGAAGCGATGCAATGTTTGTCCCAGACGGGATCACACCGAGGTGTGAACTGACCGACACGTTTGTTTTCCCCACGTATCGCACTCACACCTGAGCTCTCCCCCTAAACTTACATCACTCGCTGGGTGGGTAGGGTCTAAACGACGTTCGCTCCAGGCGGGATCACATCGAATCGTGAACTCTTCCCCGACCATTGCAGCAGTTGTCTCTACTCCCGAATTTGCGAGACAGACTGAATTTTAATTGGTGTGTTCCACAGAATTCTACACTTATAGAACGGGAACTGTACCACGTGACCTGTGAGGAATTGAAGACCGAAAACAATGGCGTCTTGAGGGCACGATTTATCGTTTTCGGAAGTAACCCTATAGCTTTTAAAGCAATAGCGGCTTTTACAAACGAGTGAAAAGTGGAACATTTACTGTCCAGTTTGTAATTTTGAGTTACAGAATTCACTGTGCAACTAGAGATTGGAATTAAGGTTTTAAATTGTTGTGTTTTTGGGTGCAACAACAGAAACAGCAGACATAGAGAGTTTATAAATATAAGATCTACAGAACTGTGAAAAAAATCGTAACACGGATGGGATTGTTCACAGCACTTCTAGCTTCCCACACACATTTTGCATACGCATATGGCCTACGTAATTTTTTAGTAGCAAAACTTGTTACAAGAAATTTGTTTTACACTGAACATATTTTTTCACTAGATCTAGATTTAACTAATGTTCTCAAAACATGCGTTCAATAATTAACTTTATGTCGCCAGCAGAAGTAGAAAAAAGGACGGAATTGCTTTTAAAAGAGATTTAGATCTAGCTCCAGCTATTAACTTTTTAAAAATCTGTAGAAACCATTGACTGGGATTTTTTTTTTTATATTGGGCTTGTATTTATTAAAGAATTTTCTTTAAAGAAATTTCTACAATAATATAGAACCTATACATGTGTGCAAATGTTTGAAAAAAATACTCATCAGTTAAGACGAATTGATATAGATCTAAGTCATTATGTAAAAGTAGGAGAATCTAGACCTAGGTGTTTGATAGTTCAGTAGTCAGTAGCCTAGATATTTGATAATAAGTTGCGCATCAAATTTTTGACTGCATGCTACAGTAGTAGAGATAGCGTATTATTTTCATCCGAAACATTAATTTCCGCATCCATACACCTTTTTGGGCCTTTATAAGCACATGTAGTCCTACTTTAATTATGTTACTTTCATAATTGTTTTTGAAAGCATTTTCAATTCCTTTCACTTTCACTCCCCACGCGTGGGCTCATATAATTATGATTATAATTTAAGATTCCAAATCTGACGAATGTATTATTAAATAGCGTATAATGCTGAGTTAGCAAATGCATTGCAATGCGCACTATTATCAATTATTGAATTGTAACTAGACTTCAGTTTGATCCGTAACAAGAGACCACTTATTTTTTTATACGTGTTCATGAATGTGTGTTTGTTTACTGTGTGCGGGGATTAAAAATTAAAGATTAAAGATTCCAGATCTGACGAATGTACATTTGTATTTATAAAATAGCGTAATAGTGCTGGGTTAGCCGATGCCTTGCGATACACGCTTTTATCAATTAATTGAATTGTAACAGGACTTCGATTTGATCCGTAACAAGACAACACTTATTTTTTCTTATATGTTCAAAAATGTGTGTTTGTTTACTGTGTGCGGGGATTAAAAATTAAAGATTAAAGATTCCAGATCTGACGAATGTACATTTGTATTTATAAAATAGCGTAATAGTGCTGGGTTAGCCGATGCCTTGCGATACACGCTTTTATCAATTAATTGAATTGTAACAGGACTTCGATTTGATCCGTAACAAGACAACACTTATTTTTTCTTATACGTGTTCAAAAATGTGTGTTTGTTTACTGTGTGCGGGCATTAAAGATTCCAGGTCTGACGAATGTATTTATTAAATAGCATAGTCCTATAGGGCAGGGGGTGGCCAACGCATTGCGATACGCACTTATATCAATTAATCGAATTGAAACAGGACTTCAATTTGATCCGTAACATGAGACCACTTATTTTTTCTTATTCGTGTTCAAAAATATGTGTTTGTTTACTGTGTGCGGGGATTACAGGGGGACAAGCCTATCCCCTCGACATGTGATCCAGGGTATGGGGATCACATTTTCTCAAAATGCAGACAGCTCTGAAATCCTTGACCAGTGATCACTCGCCATGGAACTCTTTCTGTTGTGACTGTAGACACAAGTTTCTTCATTATCACATCTAAGTGAGCCTATCATTCATGCATGAGAAATCACACTCCCAACACACAGAAAATGACTTTGAACATAATATATTCAGGAAACATATGCCAGTTCCACTCTTGTTTACTTTGTTTTGCATTATTGGCTTTTATGTGTAAACCAATATTTTGAGGCCTTTTCTGCATTTTTGTGTTTTTGGCAGCATGTACAATAGGCCTATAATGTATTTTATGTGCAACCGACACATTCTCCAATCTCTTGTATTTGTTAGACTCGCGCATGCTTTAAACAAAACATGTTAATGTTAATGTTGTTGTATGTACACACTACTGATGCAAACACAGAAATGAATTTTTAAAGTGAGAAATAATACATTTCCTCAATATAAGCTCAATTTATTTATCTCTTTCTAGTAAATTGGAGAAAAGGCTTATATTGTTCTTTTTTGCTTGCTTTGGATGGCCGTAAGTTTAATGACAATATTATTGTAGTGAGCATGTTACTGTCAGCGTCCCCTTATCGTAGATCTAGTACTAATCAAGACTAGATCTATATCTAGATATTTTGCCAACAGAATTAATGTTCATAATTAGTGTTATTATCAAGTGTATTGTGATTGTGAAGATCTTTAATAGATCTAGATCTAGATATCTAGAGATCTAGATCTATCTTGATCTAGATCTAGATCTAGATCCCATCCCATCATTAAAAAAACCCAACAAACCAACAATACAAATACAAAAACATTGTAACATTGCCAATTATGACATATTGTAGGCAATAAAAATGTACTAGACTATTTCACTATATTTCCTCTTCGAAGAAAGTTTTAAAATACTGATGTAGGGTGTCTTTCAAGCCCTACTACTAGTATCAGCGTGCATAGCAACGCGAAGCCTCGCTGTGCGCGCAGCCAAAGGTGCCCTCAACCGGCCGCCATGTTTTAGTTTCAATTCCTCACAGCGAATCGGCGATCGCGAAGAGGGAGTTCCGCTTCTATAAGTGTAGAATTCTGTGGTGTGTTCACATCGAATGGTGTGTAACGACAAAGGCGGTTGGGGTGAGGGGGGGGGGGGGGACTCGGTCAGAGATGGCAAGCTATAAATTTTCGACAGGTAAAGGGGAGGGGCAGCTGGATAAGCGTAGATCTTGAGACTCATGATTGATAGGATAATTCGTGAAAATGGCACGCCTCATGCCACTATGCACTGTGATAGGTCATCAAGGGTAACCACTCTTTGCTCGCCTTATGTCATAAACCCACCAAGGGGTCACGTCAGTTCATTTTAGAGTGGATGGAGACCATTTTACCGATTGTGAGCCTTAACATGGATCCCCATAGATTCTTCCCTGGGTTCGTCGGCTAAGATCCCGCATTTCTTGGCTCCCGAGCACCGGGATCTTAGGTGGAGACTACTGTATTAGATATTACACTGCGACCATTACAACAGATCAATTAAGAGACGGGCTGCTTCGACCCCAGCCGTTATATTATATAGGGCCAGCTTCTTTCTACCTCTCTTATTCTTTTTCCTCTTTCTACTCCACTCATCTCTCTCTCTCTCTCTCTCTCTCTCTCTCTCTCTCTCTCTCTCTCTCTCTCTCTCTCTCTCTCTCTCTCTCTCTCTCTCTCTCTAGGCCTGTAGCCTATATATACCCACTTCTCTATATTCTCTCCCCTCCTCCCTCTCTCTCTCTCACACACATCACACACACACACACACACACACACACACACACACACACACACACACACACACACACACACACACACACAAACAAGCACACAGACACCGTCATGCTAAGTCTGGAACAGACATTGGCGATCACAGCTCTCCTCTGAGCCCAGTGTAGTAGATCTGGTGATGGGTCTCATTATTATTTCCGTATCTTCAGAATAAAATAATACATGTTGCAATATCTTTTACAACTCTACGCTAGGGCTGTTGTTGTTTTGTTGTCTGTTGTTGTTGTTGTTTGGTGTGTTTGTTTGTGGGTTGTTGTTTTTGTGTTGTTGTTGTTTTTTGTTTTTTTTGGGGGGGGGTATGAGAGTTTATTTTTCGAGCGCTCTTCTTTTCGCGCTTTGTCTACTTCGTTTTTCGCAAACGTTTTTGAATTTGCTGCTTATTGGGTGGCCCTGTGTCATGTAGGCTATGTAAAGTCGGTATTGTCTAAGAAAGCCTCCCGTTATCAAAAGAAAAATGTCCTCTCAGATCTCTTGAAACTGCTATACAGCAGGGTGTAGGTGACAGTGTAAAAAGCATGCATACCTAAATGAAGATCGCATCATCGCGGTAGACCGTTAAGTGGACCGGCACCGACTTAGGCATATTTTATTACAAGCAATAACAAAATCGTTTCTTTTTCTTTATTGTGGCGGGGATCAAGGACTAGTGATGGGTCTCATTTAAATATTAAGAAATGCCTAAGAGTGTCACGTACACAGCTTCTCAGTCTCCAAATCCAGCCAAGCGGGTGTCCCCAGGTGTTTTCAACGACAAGGCTCTGGCGAATGGCGAGTTGTTGGCGCCAACAAACCAACCCTCAACTCCGTTTCCTGGAGGGATCGAAACAACAGGATGGGAGCAGACCCCACCTATGAGTGGTAGACGCTATAATGCTCATCACCAACTCACCCCTACTCTTCCTAGAGTCGGTGTTTAATCTGCCTAACACCTCTACTACTCTTTATATCAACACACCCTCTGAGGCTGAGAAGAAACCAGCCAGTTTGAAAATGTATGGGTGCAAGGACGGATCGAGCAGAATGCCTGCCTTGCCTTATGGCCTTATACACAACCCCCAAAGAAATCGGTGGCTCGTCCCTGATGTAGATCTATCAGTTATTTTTCGCACTGTTGTGCCAGCTGACAGCGAGAACAGTGAGGTCTTGTTCACGGCTGTTTACGGTTCACAGCTAACCGCTATGTCGGCATGAAGATCAAAACGGGCTTTGACTGGGAACATTTTGCGGTTCGTTTTTACTCCGACCAGACTGGAGTGCGAAAAATCGCACCCAACTGGCAACTGGTAGGCCTGCTTGTATTTCTTCCATAGCTGATATAAACCACTAGGCCCACTCTCTATTCAGATTTCTTCATACATTATGGTATGTGTCTTGTATTGGGAATGGCATATGGTCATGTATCAAGATCGTGTGGCCTATCCAAGACCATTCTTCAGGGAACTGTGCAGGGGGGAGGGGGGGGGGGAGAAGGAGGGGAAGAGGAAAAAAGAGGCGGACTGACAACATTGCGGGCGGAGTGGACAGGGCAAAATAATACACGTATCCTTCACCCAAACTCAGAAGTTCGCAAAAAGACGTGAAAAGTGGAGGCACCTGGTGGGTTTTGGAGTCTTGTGAGGGGTGCCCATTGGGAGATCGGGTCTGGTCGGGGCGGTTTGCTCGCCAGATTGAGGATGAAAAGCGGCTATCGTGGCACAAGCAGATCGCGCCCGACTAGTCGACTCAAAATCAATTCGTTTGCCATGGTTGATCGCCCCACTCGTCGTCTGAAAACAAACGCGTTTGTGTGTGAGTCGGCGAGTCGAGCGTGATCGGCTTATGTGCCACGACAGCCGCGTTGCGCCCTCAATCTGGCTAGAAACCGCCCCGACCAGACCCGAGCCCCCAATGGGCACCCTGTGTTAAATGAGGACTGGGATTTGTTCGCACGTCTGTGTCAAAGTAAAGCTGCTCCGCTGCTCCGCTGCTCCGCTGTGGCATCGCGGTTTCAGCATCTAGTGCGCGTAGCGAACTATACATCATGTATCAGTGGCACCATGGTGTGGTTGCTAGACTGCTTGGCCTTAAAAGCAAGGAGGTTACAGTATGTTTTAAGCTCCTTGCTTGAAAGCCAAGTGTAGTGTGGTGGGGAATTAAATGGTGTGTTTTAGAAAAGTAAAAGCCGATAAAATAGCAGGAAATGGGTGGGGGGAGGGGCGTGCGCGCAAACACACACACACACACAGACAATATTATGTATAAAGACAATAAAAAGCAGAGATATCTTTAGAACAGTATTCACATTTTTTCACTCTCTTGAAAAGTGTGAAAGAAAAAGAGGAGGAGGAGGAGAGGTAATGATTCAGGCCCAGTAAATACCATGTATATTCCTCAATTTTATATGATGAAATTCATTTGCTATATACACATCAGGTATATAATTATATTACTATACTCTAACAGTAACTGTGTTACTGGTTTCTTACAAATGTTTATCAGGCACAGATCTTCTGATTTTGATGATGAGAGTAAGTCAGCCCACAGTACTTTTATACTGTATTATTAATTAATAGTGCATGCTAGCTCCTGGTTTCTATCGTGGAACAGCATTTCAACCTCGGCAATGGTTTTTTGCCGTTGGTACCGGGTACTTCTTCTGACTAGACGCTGTATTTCTTTTTTTTGTGTGTGTTGTTCTCATCAGTCATAAATATCTGCTTGCACTTTTTACAATTGTGTAGTCGACTACGGAAGGGTTGTTGTCATCAGGGGAATGAAAAACAGATCAACTCATCTGAAGTTCAACTTAACCGTTGGGAACTGTAAAGAAGAAGAGATGATGGGACCTGAGAAAAAAATAAACCTAATTGATGATTAACTCAAGCAAGTTCAACACAAGCAGAGTCGACTGCATATATATGTTCATTTTTTTCTGAACGTGTCGGAGGGTATAAAGCAACTTGTAGCTTGAAACGTGTCTTTTTCATAATGGAAATCATGCTAATGTAGGCATTTTGTTAACTTACTTCAGCAAAGCAGAGAATAGGCCTGCCGTTTGTAAGTTGTAAGAGTTAAGGAAGAGGAAAGTTTCTCCATGAGAAACAGTATGCTAGAGGGTCAGTGAACAGGCAACAGAAGGCCGCCAAATGTGAGAACTTTGTGGCTGACCTCTGACATGAAAAACAATTTTAAAATTATTTTTTATGTAGGTATATTACGCCCCTGATGACCCAAAGTAGATCATTTAGGAGATGGGTTTCGATCCTACCAGTTAGGGCCAACCTGAGCAGAGAGGGGTACAACATCCCACCACAAGGACTGAGATACTCAATAAAAGTTTTTCCTTCTAGGGAATTGAACTTGGGTCTTGTGCATGCGACTGCGAAGCACTTAAGTACTACAACACAGCCACCAGTATGGCCTCTGAGTGTTAAGTATAGTACCGTTAAGGCATACAAAAAGAAGAAAATATTCCTGAAAAGCAAAATAAAAAGAAGAAAATAGTTTGTCTTTTCACAATAGTTTTTATTCATCAAAGGCAGTATCGGGTATCATATAATCTAAAATTCCCTTTCTAATAACTTTTTTGCCTCACATATAATAGTGGTTAGACACGTGTCAAAATCATGGTGACAGCACAAAGTTAGAAATAACTTATATTAAGGCAATGTAGGGTGAAGCTTCACACTACATCTGAAGACTTTAGTAAAGTAGAAATCTGTATTCTACATTTTTAGAGCAGTTCTTTTATTTCATAAAGGCTATCTTCTTGAAAGACCAGACATACTTTGCAATTTCAGAATAGTGTTTCATTGCAACAAAATCTACTTCTAGAGTTGACATTGGAAATTTGAGAATGGTACAACCGGTCACTTGCTTCTAAATCTAGGATAAGACTTATTTGCTTCCCTCCCAGGCCATACTACATACACTACGCAAAAACTATCACTCATCATATATTTGGGCTTTCTCATATTGTCACACATGACATACCATTCTTTGTAAGAAAACCAATCTCAATCACACACCAGCATAACTTCATTAATCTCCATCACACATACAAAATACAGAGACATTCTTTCGTACTGTTTTCGTTTTAGTAAGTGTTTTACGCCACTTCCACACAAGAAGGTCATATAAGTGCCGAAGATTAGAGGTGTTACAAGAGAGTAACAAACACAAAAAAAGAAGGAGGGGAGATAAAGACGATAGATGTTTGATAGGAAAGAAGAAGCAAGCCACACCAGAGCACCCGCCAATCACCCACATATTGTTTTCAACTTCCAAAATATAAACAAAAAGAAAGAAAACTGTCCAGAAAACATAATATAGATGTACTCTTTAATGATGCATAGCTTGTCCACTGACCACAACTTTATGCAAGGACACAAAGTGGTCAAAACCAGACTCAATAACAATCCGTAGGCTGTGAGCTCGCTTTTCTCCTAACTGAATTTCTTCCTGCTGTAACTGGGAATCTGTCTCTTCCAGCTCTGTATAGAAAACACAGAAAATGTATAAAATCACTAAAAGTGGGCGAATTAACAAAATTTACTTTATACAATTGTCATAATTTTTTCTTTCTATGGGAGGGCATTGTTTGATTTCTATGCATGCAATAATACAAATGTCATTGAAAAAAGAAGTAAAAAATATTTTTATTCCCCCCCCCCCCCTTACCTTCTTGCAAAAAAAAAAAAGAAAAGATTAACAAATGTAGTCAAAGTGGGATGCAGAAATCTGTTACAAATGTGTATGAATTTCCCAGGATGTTCGTGTCTTAAATACAAAAAATATTATACATGAAAATGTAGAAGTAGAAGAAAATTTTGGGAACTCAAAATCTATTTGATATGTTCCTGTTCGCTATGTGCATGTTAGACTGAACAAATTTTAAAGTACGTCTAATTAAAGTAGGACGTCAACAACCAAAGACATTGTGGCCATTTCCGAGGATGAGATTTTCAGTCGTTCAAATCAACAATATGAACGTTCTCTAGGCTTGACATTTAAGATAAAGTGTGGAGCTCTAAACTTCACCTGTGATTTGTTCTATCCAGCAATCCACTACACAAAGAGCCAAGATGACAAAAAAGGGAGTAAAAAATAAAAATGCAGATGAAGATGTTGGCCTATATTTTTTACTATACTTCAGTGTCAGAGGTCAAGTTGGTGAGAAAATGGGCACCAAATTTTGTGACTTCCAAAACTTGAATGTCCTAGGAAACTGCAAATTTATGTAATATTTTGTGCCTTTCATATATGTATAGCCTACGTTTTTTGGTAAAATCTACACAGAAGGGCATTTCTAAATTGATATAAAAGGTGTTGAGGCCCCTCCTCACCAAAAAAACCCAACAACAAACAAACAAAAAAATAACAACAAAACAAGCAACCAAAACTAAACCAAAAAATGAGATAAAAAAAATTTCCCAACAGATGGAAAAATGTTGTCTCTTTGATTTCATTATTTGGATGATCCCCTATGATCACTATGATGCCACACATTTGGACCATTTAAGTAGGCAGGCTTTGATGAGAGGGATAAAATATCCTAGTAGAGAGACTGAAATACTTTTAATGAAATTCTCCTCTTAGCGGGAGGAGCGACCCTCAAGGTTCATTTTCTGTGTTCGTTGCCCAAGATCAAATCTAAGTACTTACATATATAAATTAGGCATGGAAATTTCTCTTAATACATACTTTTATTTTTGCATAGCTACAGCGGTTGCTATGGAAATGGTTGCCATCTTGAAAATAAACAATGAATTTCAAATCCCTAGGGCTTTCTTATCTACTGACCAAATTTTCAAAATTTGGTAAGAGTATACCTGAACTAGATCTAGTCCCTATCAACGTGACAGCAAGTTTTTTTTCAACAAGTGCTGAAAAACAAAAGAGAATTTTCCAAATGTATAACCTTTTCAAAATTTTAGTCGAGTAATCGATTACCATTGGAAAAGTGTTATTTTTTTTCGCAAATATCTCTGTTACATTGATGGCAGCCTTGTCATCTATGTTTCCTGAAAGTTTCATGTCAAAAGGATGACAAATAGGAAGGAGTAGGGGAATAAATGTAACAACAAAAAAATGACATTTTGAGAAAAACAACAATTATTGTGAAAATTCACTATATTTTAACCCACCCTCATATTTTCAAGGGCAATTTATGATGAGAATAAAGACTTTCTCAATTGTCTCCTTGATGATTTTAGACAAAGAACTGGTTGATCTAAAAAAAAACCCAACCCAGCTAACATCTCAGTTTGCAAAGCACTTGACCCAAAATCGGCCAAACTGGGGGTCGCTCTTCCCATTAACCAATACGCCTGTCTGGGGAGTGAATTCCATTTACAGTCACTAGGGGGCAAGTTTGAGTCGAAGAAAGGAACAGGAGAAAGATAAAACCTCTACACCACAGACGGTGGCCTACGGGTATTGAGAATGATGAAATGATAATAAACAATAAAGGTGCCAAAACTAAGTAGTACATGGTAAACAATTTCAGTCTGTAAACACCGTCACCACACTTACCAGTCTCAGCAATTGTATCATACTTGTTAGAGTCCTCCGTTTCTGACGCCTCCAACTTTAATTTTTTAACTGAAAAAAAAAAGAAGATGTAATAACACCATAGAAGTTTCTACACTTTTTACAGTTCCTTGAACAAAATGGCAGTACAGGATTAGGAGTACCAGTACATGTCTACTGCGCATCTCCGCACCAATGGTCACAAATGGAGGTTGCAGAAATTTACCTTGTCAATAACCTCTCATTCAAAGATCACCCTTTATTTCTTTTTAACTGGTTCACAGACAAATACTCTGATCATCATCAAAGAATGCCAACCCATATTCTTTACCGCTCTATTATTCTTAGTGTGATGGTGTTTCTGAGGGAATTTCTTGCTCAGTTTGTAAGTGTGGAGGAGTCACATACTATCAAGCCCATTGTCGCTAGAGTACATGGAACAACATTGCACGATAAGATGAAGATTTATATTCATTTCCACTGTACAAAATTAATATTGCACTTTTACAAGCTTCCATACCATAAAAAACTCATAATAATTATGTATTATATCAGCACCAGATCAAGAGAATATATCTCTCTGTTTCTCTCTGTTTCTCTCTCTCTCTCTCTCTCTCTCTCTCTCTCTCTCTCTCTCTCTCTCTCTATCTTTCATCTGTCTTTCTCCCCTTTCACGCATGAATGTACAGCATGAAATTATAGTGTAAAAATAAATAATTCAGAAACTAATATTGTTGTTGAGGTCAAACACCCATCAAGTTGCAAATTAGGTAATTTTGAAGCTAGAGCACAGATCCAAGGATCAGAAAACAATTCAGACCCCTTTTGGATTGAATTTTGAACTTCCACATGAAAATCACTTTAGCTGAATGCTTACTTTACTTAGACTGTCATACAGAAGCGATAGATTGGCAATAGCTACTGGACACTTTAATTAATAAAAACTGAAAACCTACCATTGTATGAGCTTATGTGTACATTGGTTATCCTCATCAAAGTCTGAAATTTGATGACAACTTCTTGAGGAAACATCCCAGTTGTAGACCAGAAGGTTTCTGCATTCCTGTAATTTGACATAAAAGAAAAAATTCATAGAAAGCAACATTTACAACAATGTACCCTTATAATGAACATGGTTTTTGTTCAAAATAGACTAAAGTCTAGTATGCACACAGCGAGCGAAATTTTTTTCGTTATAAATTAATGAATTTCAAGCAATCAAGGGATGTAAACAAAAGATGAACAATTGTGTCAAAATTTTATGAATGAATATAGTCCTCTATGCATGACAACATGTATGTTGGATTCATAGTTTTGCTTTGATCTTGATATGGTGGGTTTTAGTTCTAGTTAGTTCCACGTGTACAAATGAGCTGGTGTATTACAAACCGTAACCATAATTACCCAATATAATGCAATCCTTAAGTATTATAGATCCTTAAACCTGTCTAAGCTATCAAAGTGGCCGGACAAGGCCTTTTAATTTTATTAGCCACATCACTGGTGTGGGGAATCATGCAGCATTTTCATTGATAATAGTTAATTTATCTAGTTAAAGATTCATCAGAAAAAAAAAACGTGTTCAGTGGAGTCCACTTATAACGAGTCCTGAAATAACAAGAAGTCTGTTATAAAGATACTATTCTAAAACCCTGTTTTTGTCCCTTCTTTTTCTTTGTAAATAAAATACTGCAATAGCGCAATCAGACAAACACGCGAGTCGGTTATAGCGGAATATTGCTGCTGCTGTGCGCAACGCATAGGCCAATTATACATAATGTAAAACCTCGCAAGTAGAGAAACTTGTTGATGAACTAGCGAAACAAAAAATGGGAGATCCCATGTGTGTCAACAAAGAAGGCCGGAGTGAATGAGTGGGGAGGGCGTGGCATGCACAGACAAGCAGAATGCATCGCATGATAGGCCAGCCTATAGTGCAGTCAAAAATTTGTTGCACAACTTACTGTCAAATATCTCCTTAACTATTGAACATAAACTCTTCATCTTTTGCACAGTGACTTGTATCAATTTGGCTTAACAGATCAATGTTTTTGTAAAGACCTGTCCTGTTAGCAGTATTTTAGAAAATTCCTTAACAAATACTAATAAAAAATCCTAGTGGGTGGTTTCTACTGATTTTGAAAGGTTTACAGGTGGGACGATATCGTTTTTAAAAACAAGTCCGTCATTTTTTTCTAATCGCGAGATTATCTTTATTGAACGCACGTTTTGAGAACTTTTAGTGCAAAAAAGTGTTCACTATAAAATTAATTTCTTGTAACTAGTTTTACCACTAAAACTAAAAAGTACCATTGGTGAGCTGTGACGTAACCCATATGCCTCTATACAAAATGTGTGTGAGAAACTGGAAAAGCTGTGAACAATTCCATTTTCCGCGTGAAGGACATTTGTAGTATTTTATATAAATTTGTGAAGAAAAGTTTTTTAATCTAGCCTCAGCTGTTCTGGAAAAATACAATTAAGTTAAGACTTATTAAGACAAACTGTTGTGCAAAGCAAAGTATGGGTGACATTGATTCACCCGTTAAAAAGAAATTTGAGGATAAGCTGCGCCACGAATTTTTGACCTCACTATAGTCTAGATTATCTAGGTCTACCATGCCTCTCACTTTTCCGATGCGGGGATGGAGAGGTCACAGTGATTTGATGGATGGAGCGAATGTGTGATGTGCGCAAGCAGACGGAACGCACCACAGGATGTAGTGTGGTGGGGGACAACACAGTGGGTGAGTTAGCCTAGAGCCCTTTCTTTCTAATCGCCAACGCCGAGCTGTCAACATCACTAGCCTAGAGAAAGAAACCTGGTTCGATTTTTGATCAAAAATGACCTAGAAGTCATGTTGAAACAAAATCAGCATCAGGGGAGATAACGAAAAGAAATACACAGAACACCAAACTCATAGGCCTACTTTATTATCCATTGAAATTATTACTGGATCCCTTATAACAAGAATCCTGCTATTTATACGGACATTTTGCACCAGTCCTCTTCCTCTCGTTATTACAATATTCCACTGTATAATTATTAGTTATAATTAAGGAGCTGAAGGTATTATTCTAAGACATGCGGCTAAACGTAGAACGATGCACCTGCCTGATTGACGGCTAATTTTAGTAATGTGACGTCATGACATCCTGGGACCCCACAGGCTATTTTTAGAAGGCTGTGGAGATACCAGAGGTTGTGTAGTAGAGAATCTTTGGAGATACCGCATGGAATGACATGTTGGGTCAGTACCTTGACATATTTTGCGTTCAATGTGTTTCACACCCTAAAATTTCACACTTGCAGCTAACGGTAGCCTGTAAGCCATGCTCTACTGATTTCCTGTTTATGTTAATAACATTTCAGAATTCCAGTAGTGATGTTTGAAATTGAAACACGGTAAACGCAAAGACAATAAAGCGCGCGAAAATTGCCGTATGATGCTGGAAGATTACCCCCTCTTCCCCCGGGCGCGATAAACAATACGCAGAAGAGATAAGCAGCGGCGTCATCGGAGCACCGCATCGTATCACATTACCAGTATTACTGGAAAAACATCCCACCAAAGCGTCGTGCCATCAAAGATCGTGTATACTACACGATCTTTGTTGCCATACATTTGGCTATATTTAGATGCATTCACGTGATCGGAGGGGTATCCCGGTCTGACGTCAAATAAGATATCCACTTTACCTAAAAATAGTTTGTGTCGGTCCAGTGGCGGTGGGTGGACCAAAATTTGAGCGGGGCTTATGGTGCTTCCACTTCTTTACCACCAAATAGCAAACAATAAGAACAAAACAGTGATGATTTTTCTATACTCACAGCGAGCCACAGCATTTTGAGAATCATTTAAACGAGAAGAGTCACCTTTGTCTACAATCTCTTAGTTCTACATTGTAGCTGTATTATTAGTGTTATTCATCAGTTCATGCTCTATCATCATCATCACTCTGCGCCCCTCGGGGACTCATGCATGCAGGTCTAGATTCATTTGTCAGTGCGATCACTCATCATTTCATTCCGTTCTACATCACCGTCTTGTGTTTTCCATTTCATTTCAGTTGATGTCGTCATCACTTGTAACCCCGTTGAATCATTAAAAGTTCATTGATGTTATCCGACAAGTGATGAGTCATTCTTTATACATTCAATTCTTCTGGATGGTGGGGACAAAACCGTTTCACCTCCAAATTTCTCAAAATTAGTGTAATAATAATACATAAAATTTAATAATAAAGTGTTAAGCGCATAGAGTTTGCTTTCGAGTGGGGACATGCGCTACCGTATACAAATGTTATTTATTATTATTATTATTTATCAATTTCAATCAGATGAAAAAGTTGCCCCAAAAGTGGTTTGATGTAATTAATAACTGTTAAATCTCAGTGGTACACACACAAACATGTAAACACAGCACTCCAAACATATTATATCGTCTATGAGCTGGATTAGGCCATGTAGTTGAGGAAAGTAGAACGAGAACACACTTAACAAAGGTCCAATGGGAGCAGAGGTAACCGTGTCACTGGGGGGAAGTGTGTCATAAACTTTCACCCCATTGTCAGGGCTAGGAGAGCTTGAGCCCTCTGTGCAGTGTTATTTTTTTCAAGTCTTTTACCGTTTTTACGAGAGGGTTGGGTTTCATTTTTAAGGAGGGGCCGTGGGAACGGGCTCGTCCTTTGCTGAGCCCCAAAAACGTTTGATCGACTGTTAGGATACTATAGTTGTAGCAAGCGGTGACAACAGTGATTTGATAAATGAGCAAGCTGCCACATTGATCACTCTATGTTCATTGCGTGTGATTATAAGTCTCAACTACTTTTTCCCCCGTTATTTTCATTTGCTAGTGTTGGGGGGGGGGGGGGGGGGGGGGGGGGAGGGCTCAAGCCCATAAGCCCTTCACTACCCACCGCCACAGCGTAGTCTTTCTACGTTTAGTCGCATATGTGTCTAAGCGTCGTTCTACGTTTAGTCGCATATAGATCTACTATGTTGTCTAAGGGCGATAACATAAAGAAAGCCGAAACTTAAGCGGCTGAAGATCGACTCGGACAGGCGCCAGTAGGTGTCTGCTTGACTCCACATAGAGGACGCCTATTGCCGATCCCTTTAAGCTCGCGTTGCATTGATCTACTGTTGTCTAGTCTGCCTACATCTACCGTATCTAGAATCTAGTTCTAGGTCTTGAGTGATTACAAATTTACAAGAATGGACTTATCATCCGAGAGGGGGAGGGGGATAGGAGGAGAGGGGGGGGAGGGGGAAAGAGAGAGAGGAAGAGAGAGGGGGGAGAGGGAGGGAGGGAGGGAGAGGGTGAGAGGGAGGGAGAGAAAGGGAGGGAGAGAGAGAGGAGAGAGATTATCTTCCCGTGTCCGGTAGAATGTCATACAAAATTGCAATATTATGTCATAAATGTGTCAATAACAAAGCTCCCTCATATCTTAGTGATCTCATCCTGATTTATGTTCCATCTAGATCACTAAGATCAGGCGATCAGTATCTTTTAAGAGTTCCTAGAAAAGGGGGTAAAAAATTAGCTGAAAGATCGTTCGCCCACCTTGCTCCGTCAGTTTGGAACTCTCTTCCCCAACCCTTGAGACATACAACATCTGAGTCTAAATTTTTTTTAATCTTTAAAGATACATTTAATGACATCTTTTTTTGTCTGTAGATTCAGGTTCAATACAATGTTATGTAAATGACTATGTATCCATTATGTATTTTGTGAATTGCATTGTGTAGATTATTTTATGCTCATTTCGTGACGACGTGTAATCGTGCGCGTTTGATAAGCAAGTAGATGCGTGTGTGTGTGTGTGAGTGTGTGTGTGTGTGTGTGTGTGTGTGTGTGTGTTTGGCGTACATGTGTGTGGACATGTGTGCGTGTTATGTGTTCGTGAGTGTGTATGTTTGTGTGTGTGTATGTGTGTGTGTTTGTGTGTGTGTATGAGTGTGTGTATTTTTGTGTTTGTGTCGCGTGCGTGAATATTGTTCGTACATGTATTTTTATGTAAAGCGCCCAGAGCTGTGTTTACACGGGAGTGGGCTCTATAGAAATGATCTTCATTATTATTATTATTATTATTATTATTATTATTATTATTATTGTAAATCGACATCCATTTTGACAAGACACGACACAGCCAGATAAGCAGATCTCTAGACGCACAATGAAAAACTACACAGGCCTCGTCTCTTCAAAATCACACTCTATTGACACAGTAAAGCCGAGATACCTAGAGCTAGATTCTAGATGTAAGAAAAAAATTAAAATTAATTACACCACAACACAGCTGGTATTCATGAAGCATAATATTTTTCGGGGAAAAAACACTAATTTTCTTAGATATTGCTTAAAATGCAATTCTGCTCTGTGACCACCTTATTTTGACGATGCTGATTTCAAAAATGTAATTAGTTTTTGTCTACCGTGAAGCACCAGCTCTGAAATGACCATTTAAAATTGTCCCCAGTCCAGTCGGGTTACGTCACACAAACCGCTGAACCCGAGTTGGCGACGGCGAGACGGCATTGACAGTTCGCGACCTCGGTGCTTTCTTGTCGTACCTCCATTTTTAATAACAGTGAAAACAGTTCATAACAAAATGTGAGTTAAAGAAGAAGTCTCATTTTCACTGTTAAAAAATGGAAATACGACAAGAAAGCACTGCGGTGGTGAGTTGACAGCGAGACGCCCTTCCCAGTTTTTCGGCGTAATAAGAATGTAGTTTGGATTCCGATAAAGCCGACAACTCCGATCCGAGTTTAAAGCCGCCTGCAGTCGGCCAGATCTATGTGGGGCAAGTTGGAAATCATAAGGGAATTTTTATACCTATCGGCGCTTACTGAGTCAGTCTCCGAAATCGGCGTTCTCTATGTTTTCGCCCTAAGGCATCTAGAATACAGGGCGATTTTGTAGTTTCGTTCGTTAAAGTCCAAAGCTGAACGCCAGAGACCCAGAATTGCCAGGTATTCCTTGAGGAGAAAATCAAAGTTTAATCCAAGAATGGCCCTTTTTTTGGATGTTCCCACCCCCAATTATATTATTATTCGCTGGTTTGGGCCCTAGGAAGAGTCAAGAAGAGTAGGGGGGTTTCACTCTTCAGGGGTTTGTTGATTGACTCGTAGTACAACAAGATCACCACATTAGTCAGATCAAAGATCTATTTGCAAAGTTGACATACCCATCTATAATATTTTCTGGGGGATGCTTTTCATCACTCGATGTAGCCAGGGCGATTTGAGCACCCGCGGGAGATAATGCGACATCGAACATTGTCTCGGTTTGTCTTGAACCTGAATCCAAGATTGTTTACTGTTGGTCGGCAACAAGAAGAATTTAAGTGTGACGCATCCGGAAGTGTACGGGAGAACTCCTTGTTTATATCTGATAAGACATTGTTCATTTAGATTTATGCTGCAAGTTTTGAAATGATAGCTTTCAACTGAATTCGAAATATTTTTTCCTCATAAAGTCTGTTAAAATACTTCTGAAAAGTTCACTTTTCCAACAAAAGAGACCATACAACAGATTAATTAAATTAGACCTAAATGATGATAGCTATTTCGGGTATTCCCTCTGATGATCATGTGACCATCTTTATTTCTGTTCTGACAAAATGGAGGCAGCAAGAATGATGTTTGTGGCTTTCTTCGCCGTAATCGCTTTCTGTTTGAGCACAACTTCAGCCAGCCCCACCCCAGTGGTGATTTGGCATGGCATGGGTAATTAAAATATTTGATTACTGTTTTCAATCAATTTTACTCAAAATTTGAAGTTCTTCATATCGCTTTTAGTGCTCATTTTCAAAGTTGAAGAACTGGGAAAGAATGATTGAAATTGTTGAAGGAAGAAAGTGGGCGTACTTTAGCCTAAAAAGGGGGTGAAAACGAATAAAAGTGCAATTAACTTTTTGGGGGATTCGCTAGTACTGTATCAAAATAAAAAGTAATTCTATTTCTCCAATCACGTCTTGAAAGACTGCTGGTTTCAGGTTTTATCACTGCATAACTTGCACCTGGACCTTGGCCCTTGTGGTGGACTTTGTCATGGGGTGTGTGCCCAACACTACACTAACACTAGCCTTAGGGAGATACTACATATGACATCAACTTATCAGCATCCACCTAAATACTTCACATTTGTTCTCAGACCTCTGTTTTGCTGCCACCACTGTATCCCTCATCCACACACATTCACACGCAGCAAAAGCTTTACTTCATCAGTGTTCCTGCAGATGAAGATGCATATTTTTACTGTGCCTCAGAGTAGTCTTGATCAGAGCTCTTCTGAGCAGTTACATAACCCGCTTGACCCAATAGCTTTTTTGCTTTCGGCTTGTAACTCAAGTCTGTTGAGTTGCTTCGCCCACACCCAACTGAACTGTGTTGAAAGGGACATGCTCTTGTTTCTGGTCTTCTTAAAATACTCTCCTCAGTCTGTGTATATTAGTGGTCTCTTAAACTTAGCCAGTTACTATTCGTAGTGACATCTCACCTCCCCTCCCCCCACCCCCAGACTCACTTTTTATCTTTAAATTTAACCATAGATTTGTTTCAAACAATTGATACACATCATAGTTGTGGCGATTTATAAACTTCAACATTTTCACACATTGAGTTTGAGTAGCTCAGCTGTTTGCCAAGTGTGTTTAAGATTAATTGTATTAATTTTAATTGAAAGTCTTCTTTTCCTGACCTCCTCGGTCATTGTGTCTTGAATAGCTCTCAGATATCTTTGCCATGATCAGTATTGAAGGGGGCATCAATATTGAAACAGTTTAATATTGTATTTAATCCGTTAATGATTTGTGCTTTGTTGTTTTGGACACTATTCAGCAGGCTCCTTTGCTTTCCATCTCTGCTTTTATTGGACTGCATGACAAATTAAGGAAGCCAATAATAGCTTCCTTTGATTTGGAATTGCTGTTAAGCATAGGGTGAAAACATGCAAATTGCTGTTTGGTCACCTCTGCTCTCGTTTTGTGCTGAAAAGGCACTTTGACGTGTCTGTAGATAACTGTGCATCACATTTTTTAAACACATAGTTTGGCACACAAATAAATTTTTTGCAGACTGCACAGGTGTCAGGAATCCCCATAAACCTGGAAAACATTAAATTTAATTCTCTTTTAGAACAATGTTGTACAACGATAAATAAAAAGAGAAGCCGCTCATTGGCCTGCCTCCAAGTTACAGTGTAAATGCCCTGGCATGTTTTGAAGTCATTCTAAATAATAAAGAAATCATTGTGGCTAGGACGAGGAAAAAGAATTTTAATTCAGCATGTTTCTTTTCAATATTTTCCTCAAAATTACGTTAAATGCAAATGATTTAGATCTTTATTGGTTCGAAGTGGCTATTCGGACTCAAACTCCTATGCGCGGTATTGTATTGTCCTGATTTTATCTGATCATCATGTAAAGTATGCTGTTGGAAAAGCTTTTCCTTTAGACCACTGTTACTTTGAATGACTGACTTTTGTTCCCTTTCGAAGGGTTTTAACTTTTCTCTTTTTAATTTCTGACTGGACTTCCAATTGATCAATGATTTTTGCTTTTCTCTTCAAATGAAGGGGGTTTAGACTACCTATTGATAGAGTTATAATCCTTTGTTGTTCTGAAACTTTTTTTTCACTGCTTTGATCTCAAATTGTCGTTTCCCTGTTCGCCTTTGTTGTGTAGTATTTCTAATTTTGCAACTGTTGTTCACTTTTGACGTCACTAATACTTTTCTTAATTTGTGTCGAAAATTTTGGCCAGATTCGTAGAAACCGAGGAAGGCCAAGGTCGAATCGCCTATCCACTTGAGTCGGGATAGCCAGGGGGGGGGGAGGGGGGGGTTGGTTCAGACTTGAGTCCGAATAGCCACGGCCTTATTGGTTTGTGAAAGTTATGAATTAGCATAGATGTACAGTAAAAATATTGGTTGCATGTTTCTGTAAGAATTTGCCCTCAATTTATTTTGGCTCTAAAAATGTTTTTTTGTTTTACAGGAGATAGCTGTTGCAACCCTCTGAGTATGGGTTCAATAAAACGAATGATTGAAGAAAAGGTTGGAGGTGGCATTTATGTCAGATCTCTTGAAATTGGTAGCAATATCATAGAGGTTCGTAAATTGTAACTCATTGTTGGATGTTTAAAATAAAAACGATTCTTTCTCTTTTTCGTTTTATAAAATTTTATTTATGATTTTCTTCATAGTTATTATTGTTTTTACTCATTTTATTATCACTGATAAAGTTCTTTTGCTTTGAGTGTATGTGTTTATGTGCCCTTGCTTTGCAATTGAGTGTTTGTTTGTGTGTGTGCGTGTATGTTATGTTAGAATGCTTTTTATTTTTGAGTGTCTCTTTGTGCTTTGTTTATTCATGCATATATTATATAGACAATATTGTTGTATGCTTTCAAAATTATTTGTTGCAAATCTGAAGTTTCAGTATTGAAGCCTAAAAGTGTTCATTAAAAGTGATTTGTAAAGGATACTCTGGGTGAATTATAAAGGGAAAAAATGCTCCTTGGAAGTAGCTTCATTTGAGTCCTGTCTGGGATGCACCAGATTTAAAGTCTTCTGACATGATTTAGTTCATGACATTTCGTTGTTTTGTGGTGTGACATCTGATTTGTAGGAGATGGATGGTGATTTAATGCTCTTGAAGTGTTGTCTCTATACAATTTGTCATTCGAAAATCATATACATACCTCCCCAGGGCAGTGCTACTGACTGAAGTACTGAAGTGTCTCTAGGCCATTCCCAAAGGGGGGATATTAACATGTTCTTATGCACAGTAGAATTGTAAGATTTATCAACGTCACGCTCATACTGTGCCAGAACAACAAAGAGGAAACTGCTGTTTTTTCTTTCTCATCCTTACTATCGTCATTTTTCCTCTACTTTTTTTTGTATGTTTGTCACTCTCTTGTGAACTGCTATTTCCGGGGTGCCTTGGTAGTCGAAGCAGACTTTGTGCTGTTGAGGCTAGAGAGGTGAGCAGAGTAATCCTGATTCCTCATTTGGACTTCTCTGTTGACATCCACCCCTTGGCGCTCATATGGTCTTATGCGGTTGCGAGCGCTGTAAAAACCTTACTGAAACTAAAACTAACCAACAGTCATATTTTGATACCTTTTGATATCAGCTTTTGATATCTAGTGTAATGTCAAAATTCCTAATCTACGTAAAGTGTAATATATATAATGTAAAAGTTCCTACTCTGACACTATTTGACATAAAGTATATTGTCAAGACTCGTACTCTGACGTCCTTTGATGTCAACTTTTGATATCTTGTAATATGTCACAATTCCTGCTCTGACACCTTTAATTAGTGTCAATTTTTGAGGTGCAGGATAAAGTCACAACATTCAAGTCAAACATTTCATATAAAAGTTGACATTGTCTGCAAACACACCAATGGTCATGGTTTGAGGTGTACAGTTTAGAGGTCTAGTGCTCATACTTCTTATATAGAATGTATTTTCTGGGTCTACCTTAACTTCAACTAAGTCCCTGTGAAGGTAGGCATTGATAAATCTTACTGTAGGAGACATTTAAAGGTTGTTTCTAAAATCATAAGTATGATTTTATGTGTATTAAAGATTTTGTGGACCTAATACAGTCAAAATTGCCTGAGACAGCCGCCCATATCAAGATTACTGCGGTAAGCTGACAAAACACAGTTTTTTCATTTTGGCGCCAAAACTGTTTATTTGCTAAATTGAAAGTCTGATCAGTTACCCTACTTGTGTGAAAAAAATCAAAGTGAAACTGTGACTAGTTTTTGAATAAATTATAATTCAAATTTCGGAAAGACTGTTTTTAAATGTTTAGTGATAATGCTGAGAAAAGTTTCTTTTTCTCGATACTGCTGTGAAGAAAAAAAGGCATTTTGTCAGCTTACAGCAGAATAGTGGTCATCTTAGACACGTGGCCATCTTACACAGTGTCATTATATTATCGTTAATAAATTGCATAAGGGAATTGGACGTGGCAATTTGTACAGATGATTGTCTTATACAGGTGACCGTTTGTACGGGTGATTGTCTTATGCAGGTGGCCGTTTGTACAGGTGATTGTCTTATACAGGTGGCTGTTTGTACAGATGATTGTCTTATACAGGTGGCTGTAAGAGCAGGTTCGACTGTACTTATAACTTTCTGATAGGTGCTTAGCGGGTGCTGTGGTGTGGTGTGGTTTGCTCATTTTTTCATATCAATCATCTATCGTCCATATCTCTCCTTTTTTGTGGGTAGTTGGCGAATGGCAGGTGCTCTGGTGTGGTTTGGTGCTTCTTCTTTCCTATCAAACATCTATCATCCTTATCTCCCCTTCTTCTTTTTTATGTTTGCTACTTTCTTGTAACGCCTCTAATCTTCTGGCGCTAATATGACCTTGCGCAGTTGCGAGCGCCGTAAATCCTCTACTAAAACTAAGAAACCTCCTTCTTTCCTATGTGTGTTGCAAGTGGTGTATAACCTGCAAATTTACTAAAACATGAAACAAAAATTCTGTGGACATAATAAATAATTACGGGCATAAGTTTCTCTCAACTGCATCTCCACAGGACACGGAAAATGGCTTCTTGCTGAACGTGAACAAGCAGATTGATATGGTGTGCAGTAAGCTGCAGAAGGATCCCAAACTGCAGCAGGGATATAACGCAATGGGCTTTTCCCAGGGAGGGCAGTTCTTGTGAGTGCTTGGCTTTTTACCAGCCTCAGATGCTGGCATTCATTAAAAGTGTTGACTGATTTCTTGCTTACTTCCACCTTTGACCACTTGTGGAGCAAAGGTCACCAGCAATCTCTGTCTTTCTGACTTTGTTCCTGTCTCTCTCTCTCTCTCTCTCTCTCTCTCTCTCTCTCTCTCTCTCTCTCTCTCCCCCTCTCTACATGTCTGTCTGTGTGTGTGTGTCTCTCTCCCTCTCTCTCTCTCTGCATGTCTGTCTGCATGTCTGTCTGTCTGTCTGTCTGTCTGTCTGTCTGTCTGTCTCTCTCTCTCTCTCTCTCTCTCTCTCTCTCTTCAGTCATCACAAACCTGAGCCAGTCTCTATGGCACCATATACTATGTCCCTGTAGCCAAACTTTTTGGTTATTTTGATTTGTTTCCTAACTTTAGAATGTTCCACCAATATTAATAATAATAATAATAACACCAACAATAATGATAATAATGATAATAACAACAACAATAATGATAGTGCTTCACAACACTCTCAGTTTCCTGGTAATGATCAATGTTTTTTTTTCTTTTTTCAGGAGAGCTATAGCTCAGAAATGTCCGAACCCGCCGATGCTTAACTTGGTGTCTTTTGGTGGGCAACATCAAGGTAAACAACAGCTCATCATTGCTCATATGTGACTTCATGCAGTTGTAAGAGCTGTAAAACTTTTACCAAACTCAACTACCTCATCATCATCACCCTCTCTCCCTCTATGCCGGAGTGTAAGCCCCCATCAGGGCAGTGCTACTGACCAAAGTTGTCTTTAGGCCATTCCCAAAGGGGGGAATATTAACATGTTCTTTTGCACAGTTGAATTTGTAAATGGGCTGATTTATCAACGTCATGCTCATACTGTGCCAGAACGACATGGCGGGGCTGCTCCTTTTTCTTTTCCGCCTCCTAACTATCGTCATTTTTTCCTCTTCTTCTTTTGTACGTTTGTCACCCTCTTGTGAACTGCTATTTCTAGGGTACCTTGATAGTCTAAGCAGACTTTGTGGTGTTGGGGCTAGAGAGGTGAGCAGAGTTATCCTGATTCCCCATTTGGACTTCTCTGTTGACATCCACCCCTTGGCGTTCATATGACCATATGCAGTTGCGAGCGCTGTAAAGCCTTACTAAAACTAAAGGAGTGTAAGCCACCTTCAGGAGCTCTCCATCTACTGCTGTCCTGGACTGTAGTCTCCACCTCTGTCAGCTGTGTCTCATCTCCTTTAGGTCTAAATCTAAGTGGGTAATAAACAGTATTATCATTGCTTTCAAAAGTTCTTGTCAGCATTATTTGATCTACTTCAACCCCCGCGGGCCACTGACTGAAGTATCTTTAGGCCATTCCCAAAGGGGGGACATTTCTCGTTCAAGTATAGTAGAATTGTAAATGGGCTGACTCATGTCACGCTCATAACTGTGCCTGATTTACAACAGGGAACTGATGCTTTTTCTTTCCTGATCCTTACTATTGTCATTTCCTCTACTTCTTTCGCATGTTTGTCACTCTCTTGTGACCTGCTATTTTGGGGTGCCTTTATAGTCAAAGCAGACCTTGTGCTGTTGAAGCTAGAGAGGTGAGCAGTCTAAGTCGGATTCCCTGTAAAGACTTCTCTGTTGACCCCCACCCCGTGGCGCTCATATGACCTTATGCAGTTGCGAGCGCCGTAAAACCCTCTACTATAAAAAAATAAATCTACTTCAATGTACCATCATCATCATCATCTCTATATTTCTGGACACGTATAGCCATCTTTCTTTAGGAAGGGCTGCTACTGCAGCATCATTAGCAACTGTGTTTCACCACGTACACACACACACACACAGACGTACACGCAAACACACACACACACACACACACACACACACACACACACACTTTCTCTCTCTCTATCTATCTATCTATCTATCTATCTATCTATCTATCTATCTATCTATCTATCTATCTATCTATCTATCTATCTTTGTGCGCCCCTCTCTCCACCTTCCTTTCTCTCTCACTCTGTATCTTATCATCTCATTTGCTTGCAGATGTGTGCATACTCACGTGTATCTGTGTGTCGGCGTGTGGTCGTTTGACAATTTGTGTATTTTCTTCTGTCTCTCGATCACCCCCTCTCTCTGTCTGTCTGTCTGTCTGTCTGTCTGTCTGTCTGTCTGTCTGTCTGTCTGTCT